TGGTAGTTGTTTTACAAAAGAAATATAATCAAACTAAATTTGTGTTTAATTATCTTCCATTTGATAAATTATTAATGAAAATTATTTAAGGATATTTATAAATATATTTTATATTATATCAATATATTTATTCATTATTTTTATTATAAAAAGAGTAATATACTAAATTAACTCAACTCAATTACAGTATAAACATAGAACCATTGAAGCTGTTAGATAATCAATTAATGACTAGCTAATTTTATGGCATTATTTATAGCCATAGGACTGGATATTAGATGATCTATAAGAATAAAATTATACTAGGGTAAATGGAAGTTGATATACAAACCAAATATATCAAAACTAGCAAGATTAAGTTTGTAGATCTAACACAAAACATCTTATAATTCTTTTGATAAATAATCCAATCCTTTTTTACTCATTTAAGCTAAGATTCGTTTTTTGTATCAAACCATTCTGATTCACTTTTACATTAATATATACATAGTATATTATTTATATTAATAGGCCAAACGATCAGACACAGGTCAAATTATTATCACATTTTGGGGTAGAGGAAAAAACTTACAATACTCCTTATACAAAATAATTAAAAGGATAATTACTCTTTACTAGAGTGCTAAATTCTATAAGGATTTTTAAGATATTAATAAAGAAAAAGTAGTATAGATCTACAAGTTGGATTCCTATATATATTTCTTTTTAATAGGTTAGAGATTAACAAAAATTTGCTATTTCATAAAATTGTCGCGAATATTTGTATTCTATTAATGACAATAATATTAAATTGACTATGAATATTCTCGTGAACGAATTTAAATAAAACTTTTCTTTTTTATTATAATATCAGTAAATCAGAACAAAAAATAATCTTACTCATGACAATTAATTATATTTTTAGAAAGGTATTAATCGAAATATTTCATTAGCAATACTTTTAAGGATAACAGATTTCACTAATACTTAGCAGATATTCCATTTTTTTCATATTTAGATAAACAAATACAATTGGAGCATTTAATTTGATAAAAGGGAAAATTTTAATATATTTAACACAAAAATAATTTAATAATTTGATAATATATTAAAATTTTATACATTCATATATATATATATAAATAAATAGTTTACGTTTATCATTATATTAAACATCCAATATTCTTATCTGAAAATTTTCTTTAAGACTTCTCATTTTTCGTTGTCAAACCTAATATAAAGTGAAAAAGTATAAATAAAAAATGTACCTCTATAATGAATATACCTTAATAAAGCTAATTTTCATTTTAATGGCAAAGGATATTGAAAATAATAGAGTTATCAATAATACTTATTACATTATCGAGTTGTTTTTGATTAAAGTAATCATTTAAATAAGTAATTACAATTTATTGCTTGATTCAAATTTTTTTTAATAATTAATTTTTATGCATAAAATTTTGAGATCAATCAAATCTGTAAAAGGATCTAGATTTGCTAATAAATTGCCTACCTATTTAGAAAGATTATAGTAATAAGAAGAAATGGATAGAAAAACCAATTTAGATGTACTTAGAAGAGAAGTTTTCAATGATTCAATCTAATTACCTATTAAATTCGCTGCTTATTATATTACTAAGTATACTGAATTTTATTAATAGCTAATAGACCTTTTGGGCTGAATTAACAAGATCTATGATTGATGCAAGCAATCATATGATTTTATTTGCAACCAATTATATTAATTATGGTAATATTATGATTTATTCATAAGGTCCAAATAAATAATTTCCATATGGAATAGAGAAAGTGAAACATCTGGTAGCTTTAATACCGTCTGCGTTGTTTCTATACTTTGGAGCATCAATATCATATGAATCATTTCTTAATATTTATAATTATGGTCATTATGTTGGTGAAATACATAGCAATGCTTGGGGATTAGCTGTATGTGTATTTGAATTATTGAATAGTTATATTTACTATCAATAGGGATAGAAACAAGTGTAGTTTTCAAAAATATAAGAGATGCACAAGCTGTGGATTCAAGTGATGAAACAAAAAAAGGATTATTAAAATAATTCTTATCTGTATTTTAAAAGAAAGATCCAGTCCTCTAAGCTATTCTTTATGAGAATGCTATAACAATGGGATCTACTTTAATCCCTTTATTGTCTTCTGCATTTACATTAATATATCCAACTCATGCATTTGAAATTGTAGGATCATTAGCAATTGGTTTGATTTAATTGTATGATAAAATGTTTGAAAATATGATAGATAACTTGCTTATCATTTAAGTGCTAAGAATCTTAGTTCTTTGATGGGAGAACAATCTATAAGTGATTTGGAAGTGAAGAAAATTTNATATATATAAATAAATAGTTTACGTTTATCATTATATTAAACATCCAATATTCTTATCTGAAAATTTTCTTTAAGACTTCTCATTTTTCGTTGTCAAACCTAATATAAAGTGAAAAAGTATAAATAAAAAATGTACCTCTATAATGAATATACCTTAATAAAGCTAATTTTCATTTTAATGGCAAAGGATATTGAAAATAATAGAGTTATCAATAATACTTATTACATTATCGAGTTGTTTTTGATTAAAGTAATCATTTAAATAAGTAATTACAATTTATTGCTTGATTCAAATTTTTTTTAATAATTAATTTTTATGCATAAAATTTTGAGATCAATCAAATCTGTAAAAGGATCTAGATTTGCTAATAAATTGCCTACCTATTTAGAAAGATTATAGTAATAAGAAGAAATGGATAGAAAAACCAATTTAGATGTACTTAGAAGAGAAGTTTTCAATGATTCAATCTAATTACCTATTAAATTCGCTGCTTATTATATTACTAAGTATACTGAATTTTATTAATAGCTAATAGACCTTTTGGGCTGAATTAACAAGATCTATGATTGATGCAAGCAATCATATGATTTTATTTGCAACCAATTATATTAATTATGGTAATATTATGATTTATTCATAAGGTCCAAATAAATAATTTCCATATGGAATAGAGAAAGTGAAACATCTGGTAGCTTTAATACCGTCTGCGTTGTTTCTATACTTTGGAGCATCAATATCATATGAATCATTTCTTAATATTTATAATTATGGTCATTATGTTGGTGAAATACATAGCAATGCTTGGGGATTAGCTGTATGTGTATTTGAATTATTGAATAGTTATATTTACTATCAATAGGGATAGAAACAAGTGTAGTTTTCAAAAATATAAGAGATGCACAAGCTGTGGATTCAAGTGATGAAACAAAAAAAGGATTATTAAAATAATTCTTATCTGTATTTTAAAAGAAAGATCCAGTCCTCTAAGCTATTCTTTATGAGAATGCTATAACAATGGGATCTACTTTAATCCCTTTATTGTCTTCTGCATTTACATTAATATATCCAACTCATGCATTTGAAATTGTAGGATCATTAGCAATTGGTTTGATTTAATTGTATGATAAAATGTTTGAAAATATGATAGATAACTTGCTTATCATTTAAGTGCTAAGAATCTTAGTTCTTTGATGGGAGAACAATCTATAAGTGATTTGGAAGTGAAGAAAATTTTAGAAATTATTAAATAAAATTAATATGTTGAGAAGATATAGAATGAAAAGGCTGTGATGTTAGGAAGTCGGAAATTCAGATTTTCAGCTGAAATAACCTTTAATATAAAAGTATAGATTTAATTGTATTATTATAGCAAATAAATTAAGACACTGAATCTAAATATTTGGAGAGATTTGACAAAGTAATTTATAGTGAATCATACAGAGATAGAGAGGAATACTTATAAGAATTATTAAGAGAAATTTAAGAATATGTTCTTGCTAGTTTACATATATAGGTATTTGTATAAATATTAAATAGATTTAAAAAATTGAAAATTCAATAAGAAATGAATTTCCTAATTGCATTCATTTAGATTTTGAAATTAATAATAAATCTTTAGCTGAAACATATTCAATAGATGATGGAAATTGGTTATTTAGAGAAACGTTATTAAAATCACCTTTTAAAGTAGAGAAATGGATGCTTGATGAGGTAGATAGATTGATAAAGAAGATAACAAAGAAGAAAAATGAAAGTTACATTGAAACGTAAGAATTAAATAGAGATTTAGTTATTAATCCTTATGTTCATCGATTTAATATAATTAGTGGCTTGAGATTGAAGATGATGATGAATATCTAAAAATTATTGAAGATTATAGATTTGAAGAGTTTTAGAATGAATTAAAAGGCATAGAATAAATATTGTAGTCCAATAATTAATCTAAAGGATAATGAATATATAAGAATAATAGCTATTATAATAATTGTATCAAAATGCAAATGCTTAAGCTTCTTCTTAGTTTACAACATTTTACCTATCTAAATTTCTACATAATTTAACTCTAAACAATGTAAGAAAACAATAATTACAAAAATTTGGGAGTGCTCAAAAGATGAATACCTTTGAAACAAGGTAATTTAGGAACTATGTAAGCGAAATAGTAATAAGTATGGCCAATGAATGCACCAATTAAATTTGATTAAATAGATCTGCCTGTTATTATATTGATTAAAATGAAAAACCATACCATATATTATGCTTTGACCGGTATTATAAACATAACTTAAATATTGAGTGTTAATTTTTACATAATAATGGTCTTTCTTGATTTTGTCTTCCCCAAACATACATTAGAGCTTCTACAAAGTATTCGGTTAGAGAATGTTCATTCAACCAAAGTCCAATCGAAGTAATCGTAATAAAATTTAAAAGCAAGTAGTATAAGTAATTTGCAAACCCTGGAAAAGTATGTTGTTCTAATGATGATGAAATAGATTAACTAAACTCATTAGCAATTTAATTTACAAAAAGAATAATCTTAAAACTGTAATCAAATCTAATTCTCCAAAATATAAAATGCTCGTCAATGTTCTCCATGGCTATCATAATTAATTTAAATACTTAAAACGATTCTAGGAATGCCAATTTATAGTTTAAATAGAGATTGGAGGGCTTCAGATATTAAACATAAGTTGCATAACTCAATATTATACTGCTAATAACAATTATTCTGGTTAATGGAGGAATATCTAGAATATATTCTAATACCATCTTATTTATTAATTATTTATATTATCAAAAATTCACTCAAACATTCCATACTCTATAATTCTCTTATTTTCTATGTAAAGTTTGAGTAAAGTTAATTGGCTTCAAAATTTAATAGTTTGTAGTTGATTCCTTCGATCCTTTTAATCTCTTTTATAATTGTTCAACTTAAGCCAACAATAAAGGGTTTTACTGAATACTTCCTAAATCTTGTATAGATGTGTTTTCTGGTCCAATTACATTCAATAATGGTTTGATTTCAGAAATCGAATTATAACCTAATTTTAATGAATTCAGAACGTTATTCCTTTTTAAAGCAACACTTAATAATTAAATAAAATCATTTCCTAATTAATTATGTTCCAAATCTATTTAATATAAATAATAATTTGTTGATATCATATTAGCTAGATACTTGCCTGATAAATCATTTAAACCATTATGTTATAAATTTAAATAAATCAGAGACTAATTATTTGACAATCCCTATGCCAATACATTTATATGTTCTGACGTAAGAAAACAATACTTTAAAGTTAACTCAGTCAAATGACATTATAAAGATGATAAAGATTAACTGAACTTTTGTAAGTCTTAAATAATTGAGTCTTATATTATAACACTTCTCAATGATTTCTAATTTATTGCCAATTTAATCAAAACATCAGCGCCCTTATAATCTGATTGTCCAGATTTAAAGGCATCTAAACACACATGATATAAGTCAGTCTATTAAGTTAAAGCACTATATAATTAATTTAATGTTATGAGACTATGTGAAAAATTGTTCCTTGAAAAACTAATCATAGTAGTAATTTGTATTACTCAAATGATTTGAAATAATTAACTTCTTTAATACTTCCTAAAAATATTTCCATTCCTTTTGGACCTAGTTCATTATGACTTAAATCCAAACTTTTTACATGAGTTTGCGAAACAATCAATTTTAATTCGTCACAATACGAATCATCAATCCCATTATTTTTTAATTTCAATGTATGTAATGTTCTCATATCTTGTATCTAATCTAAAAATTCTTTAAATGCCAATCTATTAAATTTTTTGTTACCAAAATTGCTTAGATCAATAACCTAATTAACTTACAAATCAATATACCTCAATCAAATGATACTGATTTTTAAAATCGATATTTGTTTTTAAGTTATTCTTTGGTCTTGTTTTTGATGGTAATAATTTTGTTGGCAGTTTTAAATTACTAACAGCATCATAAAAGGTTTAGAATTATTCAGTTTGTTTTTCTTCTTCATTTAATTATGTAAATATAATAGATTTAGCTTAAGGTAATGTAATTGAATGAGGATTTATTTTTGATTGTGTAACAACTTCATTTTATGTTTGCATAAGAGGTGCTTCAAAACCTGTAGTTTCCTTATATTTAATTTTGAGGAACTCAATCATTTTTTCTTATTCTTCGATCTTCTAAATGTATTTCAAATTAGGTCCTAATGATTTATTCATTTATAAAAATTATTTATTAATAAATATTTATTAGAAATGAATGAATAAGAGAAGATTACAACTACACTAACTAAGAAAATCTCTGAAGATGAAATGATAAATGAAAAAGAGGTTCTTTAATCTCTTTCTTATATAAACTTTAAACTTCTCAATGTAGTATATTTAATTGTATAGCTTTAGACATTAATACTATAGAATAAATAAGAAAACAATGTAATAATTTTATTCAAAGCATTGTTAACTATTTTTCAAGATTCTGAAAATTGGATTCCTAAAAATATAAAGGATTGGGCAACCATCTAAAGAACTATTGGACACACATCAAAATTCATTCAAATGTTATAAAATTTTAAAAAATATTACATAACAGAGTGTAAAATATTACAAACTTAAGAATTATTACAAGATGTTTTTGTATAAAAGATATCATAAAGAGCAAACAATCTATTAAAAATTGTTAAATCACTACTTAAATATTATAGCAATCCTTTTAATTAATCATTGAATGAAGATTCTTAATTAACTGGTAAATTTTAGAATGAACCTCCCTTGAGTCCAATTAGAATTTCAAATCTTATGGAGTAAGACTCAGAAATAATTATGTAAGAATTAATCAAAAAAGAAAAATTTAGTACAATTTAAAATGAGATCAAATAATCATGTCAAATAAGTAAGATAAGATCAAGAAGTCCAACAACTGCCTCTTCTGGAAGTAAAAGTAGAACTATTTAATCATGTTAAAATCATAGATTATCTATCCCTATAAGCAATCCTATCAGATAACTAAGTAGTTCCCAATAAAAATTGAATTTCAATATCAAATCATAAAGAAAAACAAATAATAATAGAGCATCACTAAAATCTAGTGAAATCTATTTTAGAGAGAGATCACAAACGAATACTCAAAGTAAATTAGATCAAGTTGAGAAATCACCTATATAAAGAATTAAATAGTAAAGTGCCAAGGATTCATTGTTTATTAAAAAATCAACCCTTAAAAATGGTAAATGATTATAAATTTTTTCATTTTAATATTACTAACAGAAAAGTATTAATCATGAATACTATTAATGCCAAGGCTATAAAATAAATTTAAATTATACCAAATATTGCTTAAAAAATAGAGCATATTGTAAATGACAATTTGCAACATTTAAAGTTAATATTAATCCTATCTTCCATAATATAATCGAATTCTTCTCCTTATTAATTTACAAATGGTGCATTAGCTTTTTAATATTGGAATATTGGAATATCAATTTATTGCATTCACACTCTCTTTTTTATTATATATATATATATAATAAATTTATATTAAAAGTTCACTTATATAGATAATAAGAATTTTATGTATATTTATTTTCATTTCAGCATTTCTTATAACAACTCATCGATTTCCAGTAAGCTTTGATCACATGCAGATCCTCTTGTTGTTGCTTTAATTGATGCTTTAACAAAACTCTCATCATATGGATTTCTTATTTATGGTGTCATATCAGTTATTTTATACTTTATTTATGTACTTTGATTCAATTATTCATCATCACTAATAGTCTTAGAATTCAATATAGAATAATCTACTCCTTATAATTTTTATTCCTAACTTTAAATAAACATTTAACAAATACTTCTCCATGATCTGATTGTTTTTATGGTCCAAATAAAATACATAATTTTATAATGCACCAAATAAATGATGAAAAAACCGATACTACAAATAAGCATAATAACACTTCTCTATAGTGTAGTTTTATCAATAATTATTTCACTTTCTGGAACTCTTATTTATATGCACTTTGCTTTTATTCATTCGACTTTTCAAACTATGGAATCGTGTAATTTTATTTTGGAAATTCAGAAACATCTTCTTCTATCAATTCTTGCTACAACACTAAATTAGAATCAAACTCTAGTCTTTCTATCTAAAATTGATTAACCCTTTCTTATCCTATCAGAGGTTCTTCTATCAATTACAAAATTGAAATTGGTTTCCGAACTATTCCAATATGCTTTTTTGGATGTTAGATTCTACAATCAGAAAAAGCAATATTGTGCATTATCATAATCAAAATTATCATCTTTAGCTTTGTTTATTTCTTAAATAAACAATTAAAATATTATTATGAAACGATTTTAATCTTGAATAACTTTCATTTATTTCTCATACAAACAGAAAATTTTAACAAAATCAACCTCATAATCTATCCTTACAATCTCTAGAATACACATTTACAAAACACCAATATTTTAATTATATTTAACTTAATAAAAAAGGATTTCCTCCATCTCTACATCAGTTAAAGTTTGTGTCATTTATTGAAAATCTCATTATTCATCTGAATTACCATAAATAATAAATTTAATTAATGCTTCTAAAAAATAATACTTCATTCCTCTTCAAAATTATTATAATTTTGAGAAAATTTTTATTTATTAAAAATACAAATTGAATGGTTTTGACTAATAAAAGTAATAAAAAATTATTCTCTGAATCAAATTATCCAAAAATTATCAATACTTCTTGATAATTTAAGTAAAAATAAATTTCTATATAAAATATTATTTCTACATTTATTAATTATTTTAATCAATAAATATTTTTATTTAATTTATTTAATTATAATTTTTTATAAATATAAAAATTCTCAAATATGAATTCTAATTCTTATCAAACATAAGTGAATAAACTGAGGATCAATATTTGATCAAATTTAGAGATTTTAATAAAAGTTTACAAGAATTGATCTATTATTTTTTACAATTTCTATCATCTTATTATAATTAAATTGATCTACACAATTTTATTTTAATTTATAAAGATAACTATTAGAGTGAGTTTATAGAAATTATTTTATTTGATATCACTTTATATTTAATAAGTTCCTCTACATTACTTAGATCGCGGTTTTAAAATAGTAAATTTGATGATCGTAATTAACCTTATAATATTGAATAAGGACTATTATTTAGTGATATTAGTATCATTCAAATAAGGAGATTATATTAATTAAATATATCAATAAATAATATCGTAGATAGACTCTTATGAAATGTTTAAATTTTCTACTCTCCCTAAATTTAATTCTTAATTATGAATATAAGGTAGCCAGAAGTGTTAATACTCATATATAGATATAAAAATTATACTATATTTATAGAATATTTTAAAATATTTTGAGAACTCATCTTTCATTGTATTATATTTTGTTATGATTAAAGTTCAGTAAATTTGTGAAATTTATTATTTTATTATTGGGAGATGAATGATTAAATGACCATAACAATGTGTATAGTTTGTTTTAAGCTAAATTCTTAAATATATGTGAAACAAAAATACAGATTTGCATACTGGTTATATGATTTGCACAATCACACAATAGTACATATTTTTAAAGTTATAGTACTAAATAAGTTTATGATAATTGATGGAGAAACGAATTCTAAAAATTTAGTCTTATTTAAAAGCCATAGAATTAGATAGAAAGAAAAAAGTTCTAATAATAGTATTAGAAAAAATAGCTTTTTGGAGGTTACTTAAAGTAATAGAGAAATAGTTTGAAGATAAGGAATGATTAGTATAGAGTTAGAGTAATATTTATGTTTTAATTTTTAGAATGTAAAGTAGAACAAAAAAACAGAATGAATGAAGTATAATGAGAAAAGTTCAAATAAAAAGGTCAATTTAAATAGCTCTGTGGAATGTTTGTTGACTTTTAAAAGTTGAATATGATGGGAATAATTTAGAATAAATAGAGATTATTTGAGAAGAATATTTGAATCAAATTCATAAGGAAAATGCATGATTTAATTAAAGTAATTAATTTTAATAAATCATCAATGTGAAATCATAAAGGTATAGTTTTAATTTGTGGTAAATATGTAATATATTTAGAAAATGCTGATAAAGAAGCTAGAATCTTATGTTAAAGAACGAATTCATAGAAAAAGAAAGTAAATAATTATAAATTTAAATTGTTGTTACAACTAATTAAATAAATATAATAATTTTTTTCTTATTTTGATATTGAATAACATTTAACATTAATAATCAAGAATTAATTCGTGGCAACATCATAGCATATGGTGTTTAGTAAATATTGTGTTACAATTACAAAGGGTATAATGTCGGAGTTGGTGAAACAGGTTCATATTCTTATTTTACGTGGATTTACTATTTAACTTCTAGAAGTTGCTTGAATATTAGTTAGGATGCCAAAAATAAATTTTAAATAGTTGTGTAATAAAATGGATTTTAGGTTTCTGCAGCCTTCTAATATTATTAAGTTAATGCAGAAAATAGTTTTTAACAGTGTTAATGAAGAAGAGAACGCTATTCTTAGATCAAATTCGCTTAGTCTTCTTTAGAAGGTTGTTTGTCAATATATATCTACATAAATTTATTTAAAATTACCTGACTAACTTCTGATGATACAATAGGCTCAGACAATTAGAAAGTGAAAGGATTTATAATTGAAATCTTCAAGATATTCTCTACTTTGAGCTTCTTCTTTCTAGTCTCTTTTTTACCTATTCTACCCTCTTTTTCATATGCTTTTTAGATTGTACGTACAGTGCAATATTTTAACTTAAGCCTATTTGCTACCTAAAAGAATAAAGGATCAAGATATCATATATATAGGTATAGACATAATCATAAATTGGGATTAATTTGATACCTCTTATAAAGAGAGCTTCTCTTAAAAAAGAAGCTTTAAAACTTGTCTTCTTTCTTCCTTATCAATTTTTTGGTACTTTCTAATCTATTTTGCTTATGATTCTTGATTTTCAGATTTAGTCATTGAGTGTAGAATCTTTATTTTTATTATATTTATATAAAATTTAAAACCAATACTTATTAAATTTGAATTAAGATTCACTTTTTTATTTATTTATAATTTCTTTTCATTGTCTAATTTATTAAAAAGTAATTCAATATACTTCAATCAATAATTCAACCTCTAACTTATTCTTTGCATCCAATATTACTACTTACATATAAATAATCATTCATTCTATTACAATATTTTGCTTTTTTTAATCATAAAAAAATCAAATTGTAATCAAAATCAACTCTAAATTTTATTCATTATGTTAATAATCAAATTTTTAATTGCTTTCATCATTGAATATTCAATAAATATTATCCCAAAGCATATCAAGAGGGAAATTTATATTAATTGCTATACATTGATTTTTAAAATGTTCCATTCAAATGTATGTATGTTATTTATTTTCCTTTTAAATCTTTGTTACTTGTATCACAAAGTTTCTAAACTCTTGTATTTTATGAAATTTCTTCTAAGTCCAAAATACTTATAGTTTCTTTTAACAAATTAACAGGCAAATTTTATAAATAAAACCCTCAGCTATAACCTTAAGTTATTTCTACAAAAAATCTTACATATAATTTACCATAACATCATTTTCTATTATTTAAATATGTTTTTGGGCAGATTTTGATAGGTGTGACTTCTTTTAAAAAAGCATGCTGGATTATTCTATCCTACATAAAAAATGTAATTTTATTGAAAAAAATAAAGCAGTATAAGCATGTCAATTAGGAGTTCATTTTGGATTTATCAAAAACTTCTCTTAGATGATTGGATTATATATTGAAAAATAAAATGAGTTTTCTCTCTTTCAATTATATACTCTTCATGATACCTCTATTGTTTTGCTTATCAATAATAAAAATTGTTACTATTTCTAGATTGATAACTAATTCGAAGTGAATTGTGAAATTTTAAATTGGAATGGTCTAACCATTTCTTTCTCTTTTAGGTTAAAATATCGATAATTGATACTATCTTAGTTGGAATAATAGATGTCTGAATTAAAGGGTTGATGAGATTTTAAATAAGAAGTTTATTCTGAGGTCTGAAATTTACCAAGAAGAAATTTAAAAATTAAATGTTCTTAAAATAGTATAAATTAAGATGATGCAAAATTATGAAGATGATTAATAATTATTTTATTAAATTAATCGAAAAACTAGGATGATATGAGTATATCCAAATAATCAATCGATTTTCTTCATCATTGTAAAGAATTCTTCTATTGAAATTTGACCATCAGAATTAGAATCAAATTCTTATACTACTTGTTTCCACATATCTTCTGGGATTCCACTAAATATTTCTTTCAACTCATCTATACTTATACTTCCACTTTTATCCTAAATAATTGTATATTATACTTTATCAAACATACGAAAAGTAACTTACAATCTCTATTTAGATAATAATTATTATCTATCAATTGTGGCAATAACAAATTCTAATATTAGATAGATAATAATAATTTACCTGTATAATCAATAGATCCAGAATTATTTTTATCAACTTATTAAAATATACGATTGACTTCTTCTGCTGCTTCAACTGGTTTCATAATCTTAGAATAACCTGCTAGTAACTCCTCTTTACTTAATTTTCCATCTTGATTAGTATCCAAACATTAAAATATTTTTAATAATTCAGCTTTTTCCTCTTTAGTTGCCAATTAATTAACAATAAATTTAAAAACAGCTTCTTATAACTTTTATTATTCTGTAAATTTTCTCATATTTGTCAAAACTTTTGTCATTAATGGTTTATCAAATTCAGTAGGATTTGTAAATTTTTTAATCCAAGGATCATTTAAAGCTTATTAAGCACTGTATCTCTTATCTTAATATAATAATGATAATTTATAACTTGGTTCAAACTGTAACATTTTCCTAATGAAATCTTTGGCCTCTTTAGATACTTCTTCCCATTCCTAAGTTTCAAATGAGTAAACCCCTTTTGAAACTTTTTCCATTATTTTTTCTTCACTTTTACCATCAAATGGTGGATATCTAAAATAAATTAATAAGTTTACCCACACAATAAAATGTATAGAATTACACCACAAGACCATATATCACATTTTTCATCATATTTCTTTTTCAAAACTTCAGGAGCAATATAATATGGTGTTCCTAACTTCTAATTTAATTTTTGGTTTGGAACGAATTCTTTTGAAGTACCAAAATCAATAATTTTTAGCATAGAATTATCCTTTTCAGATTCATATAGAAGATTTTCTGGTTTTAAATCTCTATATAAAATATTATAATTATTTTTTACCTATGAACAATCTTCTCATCATGACAATAATTGATTGCCGATAATATTTGTTTCATTATATCAGCAGCTTTCTTTTCTGAAAAACTACCTTCTTATCTTATTTTATCAAATAGTTCTCCTCCAGTACATAGTTCTGTTACTATATAAAAGAATCTCTCATCTTAATAAAATTCATAAATCTTAATTATGTTTGGATGATCCTTTAATATAATATTTGGTTACTAATTTTTATAGCATTTTAACTTCATTCATTAATCTTTCTTATTCCTCCTTACTTGTTTAAGATTTGTGTATTATTTTTACAGCTTTCATTAGATTTGTGCTTTTATGAATAGCTTTTCTAACTTCACCATATGCACCTAAATTAGATCTAATAATTTTTATACCACTTCCTAAAGGAGGATTTAAGAGTGTATAATCCTTTGTGATACGTCCTAACTTTTCACTTGTAATGATAAGATTACCTAGACAAGTTTAAGCTTTAAATTCAATAAAATAGATTTACCATCATTAAGTTGAAGTTTTTAAGGGGAAGTATTATCTGATTCCTATTAATTACTTGGGTTCTTAGTAGCAGAATTATTTTGGGAACGCTTTCCAGAGCAAGAGCCCATAAGTTATTATAAATAATAAATATAAATGGGTACTTGTAGTTAAAGAAACAATGAGGAGAATGCAAAGACAAAAGAAAGAACATTGATGAAATTAGTAGGTTATTTTTACAGTATCCCTATGCAACAACATCCAGACATAGATAGCTTAGTAATTACAAAGTTGGAAAGACAAAAAATAATTTCAAGAGGATTAAGTAAGAATCTGATTGAAGAAATTGTATTCTTTTTAAATTCTCGGAAGATTAGGAATACTGAATAAGACGATTTACTTGAACATTTTAATTATGTATACAACTAATCTTTTAAGAAATTGAATAACTTTACTACCAACCTGGGGAAAATGATATTGATTGTAAAGTTTTATAATAATGATATCTAAGACATCGCTCGAAGTTTTGTTGTGTTATAAGTCTCTAGAAATGGGAGAGTTAACTCCAGTAGATGTTTGGTGGGTAGAAGATCATTTTTTATGGAGATATTGCCAATTAAAAGATCAGTACAAAGTAGAATATGACAATTTTTTGGATTTCAATTATTTGATAAAGTTTTTATATCTACTCAAAGAGTGCACAAGAATTGAATTGAAAAAAGAGAATTTGGAATTGAATTTGCTAATTGGTTCAATTAAAACAGAACATCAGTAATAGGAATTTCCAAACACAGCTAGAACTGTTGATAGTTTTCGACCATAACAAAGAAGATAAGATACATTTTGAATACTTATATTCATTAATCGAATTCTGAAAACATTTTGTATCTTCCTGGACCAGGTGTGACTTTATTAATTTCATATGGTCCTTTTCTTTAAGATTTGCTAAATGTTTATTACACAGCTGATCTCATTCCATTCTTAGGGTATATTCCTTAAGAATTAATACCTATATTTTCAAGTGAATAACGACCTGGTTCAGGATAATCATTCACTAATTTAATTTTGAAAGATATACCACCAAATGTTTTGAATCTCTCTTAATCTTTTCCAATAATGCATGCTCCTGAATTTTAAAATTTAGAGAGTGGATAAACTCCTTTTGATGTTATGGCTTATACATATTCATAATTCCCAGGTCCTTTTTGGATAATGCATCTAATCAATTACCTGGAGTATTGAACTTCTATAAAGATTATGTTCTTTATCCAAATGTAAACTTTTATCTTCTTGTAACAGTGCTAGGTATAGCATAACGATCTGGAGGTGGAGTAGATTAAATAAGAGTTGCCCAAATTCCTTAAAGCCAAGTTTCTTCTCTACCCAAAGCAAATTGAATTCCTTTCTTTTCACCAATGTTTGTTTCTGCAAAACTCTTTATTTCATATTTATTTGGAGCTGGTACTTATTTTACATGCTTTGAAAAATCATGTCTAGATTGTATTTGTGACTAATTTACTTTTAGCCATAACCTATGCCAGCCATCCTCTTACTTAAACTATCTGGAAGATTGTACATAGATCCATTACTTATTTTAAATTTAGATTTTACATCTATTTTGTTGAATATGTCTCACGTGCTGCCTTTGAAAATGTGTATCTTTATTTTGATATTGAATTATTGAGAGGTTAATCATATATACTTTTTGAGGTATTCATTTATATTATTTTATAATTCTATATATATCTCTATTTTTGATAATTTTTATTTAACTTATTATTCACCTATGAGTTAAGATAAATATCAAGACCAATCTAATAAATTTGAAAAACCAATGTATTACTTTCAATGTATTATTTCTTAGAAATGAACAAATTGGAGAATTAATGGAACATCTCGATAGAGAACATGATAGTGAAGATGAAGGAATGGAAGATTATAAAATTGGAGGTGTCTTAAATCAATTTTACTTTTTAGGTTATCATCCAGTTCATATTGGAGAGATTTTACTTAATCGATATGTGATTATTTAAAAATTAGGTTGGGGACACTTTTCTACTGTCTGGTTAGCAAAAGATTTTAAATATGATACATATGTGGCATTAAAAATTCAAAAGAGTGCCTCTCATTATTTAGAAGCAGCATATGATGAAGTGAATAAATAATTTTAAGAATTAGGTTGAAATTCTTCAAAAAGTAGCTTAAAATGTTTAAAATCCAGTTTGGATTCAATCATTGAAAGAATATTATGCAGATGTAAGATAATATGATTTAATTATTAGTAAGGACGAACATCTTTCAATAGAGATGATACTCACACAGTTTAATTGTTAAATTCATTCGTATATAAAGGACCTTATGGTCATCATTTTTGTATGGTTTTTGAGATTTTGGGTGTAAATTTATTAGAAATCATTAAACGATACGAATACAAAGGAGTAATGAATTGATTTAAATGTTTAGTGTCCAATGGATATTGCAAGAAGAATGGCAAAATAAATTTTAATAGGATTAGATTATCTACATCGTATATGTGGAGTAATTCATACAGATTTGAAACCTGAAAATGTTTTGTTATGTTTATCAGATGAGGAGATAAAAGATATAGTTGAGAATGGATAGTTGACTTCAAATTAACTGTTTTCAGATAGAATTCATATATATAGAGAAATGTTAGGAATTGAGAAAAAAAGTGTATAGGAGAGTATAATTAAAAAGGAAGATGAAGAATTAAGTGAGAGTACAGCAACAAATTTATCAAAGACTCAGAAGAGAAAATTATTAAGAAAAAAGAAATAGTAAAAATAGAATGAAGAATCAAGAAAGGAATCATAAGAGATTTAAGTGGATTAAATAGAAATGCCAAAATCAATAAAGGAATTGTTTCAGTAATAAAAGAAGTAAATAGATATAATAATATAAATTAAGAATATCATTTACTTAATAAAAAAAGTTACCTGATAATTTTCGTTTGAAAATAGCAGATCTTGGTAATGCATGTTGGATACATCATCATTTTTCAACCTTAATATAAACAAGATAATATAGATCACCAGAAGTATTATTGGGAATTAAATATAATCCAACAGCTGATATTTGGAGTTTTGCTTGCATGATATTTGAAATGTTAACAGGAGATTACTTATTTGAACCCAGATAAGGACCTAACTTTTCAAAGAATGAAGATCATTTGGCATAGATATAAGAATTATTAGGAAAATTTCCATTTGAATATAGTACTAGAGGAGTAAAAGCTAAAGTAATAAATAAAAAGTAATAAAATAGAGATATTTTTAATCGAATGGTTAAATGAAAAGGATACCATAATTACATTTTTGGAATTTATATAATGTTTTGAGTGAGAAATATAGATTCAAAAATGATGAAGCTTTATCATTTGCATCTTTTATGATGCCTATGTTGCATTAATTACCAGAATATAGAACAACAGCTCAAGAAGTTCTAAGAAGAGAATTATGTTCAAATAATTTAGATAAATAACAAAGGAGATGTTTACTAAAAAAATATATAGATTAAATATTCTAATTTTAGAATTTTAGAAATCTTATTCCTAATTCTGGATGGTTATAATCACAAACAGACCCTGATGTTGGACATAAGATGAATGAAGATGAATTTAAAAAATTTACAAAATAAAAGAAAGCTAATGAAGAGGTTGAACAATTAGATTAAGCTATTGAAGGTATTTAACCAACCTTATTATCTAATTATAGAAGAGTATTATATAATTATATTTAATTTAGGCTTCAACCAGATCATATGATGGTTCTACTTCCTAAACTCCTCAATAAGATAAATTTCAAAAAAAAGATGGCAAGTATGTTGAACATAGAGTTATTGACAGATCATTCACAGATTTAGGATATATTGGATATGGAGATGGAATTGATTTAGAATAATTAGACAGTACAGGAAATTGGCAATTTAGTTGATCTATTTACATGTTTAATATAATATTCTGAATAATATTATGTTATATATAACCATTTTCACTAATTGTGATGGCCTTCGAATGCTCTGATATTATGAGCTGTATTTATTACAAAATTAGATGTATCTATTACATATCCCTTTGTTGCTGCTTCAAATAATTCTGGATGATGTACTATTCCTTCCTATTTTCCATTAATTATTCAAATACTTTCATGAAATATATTACTTCATCTTATACTGTTGTACCCAATTCTTATATGTGATCAAGTTAACATGCTAATTCATATTTCAATTATCCTTCTTCTGTTAAATAATCTGCATTATCTCTATCATCAAATTATGTTAAATCAGCTGTCAATGGATGGAATTAATATGTCTCTACCCAATATACATTTTTATCGTTTGCAAGTGTATTTGTCTCAATCTTAAGTACTTTTCCACCTCTCAACAATGAAAGTCTCTGAATTTTATATTATAATGATCTCCAATACCTATTCAAATAAAAGCTTTCTATTACCACATTCTTGGAATCCACAAAAATGATGGTGCATATATAAATAGATTGTTCCAGTACCATGCTATGTCCAATGGATTTTTGAACCAAAGATAAATTGATAAAGGAATTGCTGTCTCATATAGTACATATGGGTATTTGAGAAAGATTGTTAAATGTTTGTGAGGGTCGCATGAATATCTATACTTAAATTAATTGGTTATACAATAACACTTCTCCGATTCTATCAAACTCAATTGTATAAGTTGGTTTGTAAATTCGATCTGTTTTAACAACATATTATGATTCGTCATTCATAACTTATGCTTTATGAGCAATTGTTGCATTATGGAAACTTTTAATGTGATTCAATTGATAAAGATTCTTAATACCTAATCTTGCCGTATTAGTTATTCTTGGCAACATTATTTTAAAGATATGAATAATATTAATATTATATTAGTCATAAAACAAAATACTACATCCACTTTATTTACACTCTTATTTTAATTTTGTCTATCTTAATTATAAAATGTCCTTAATTCTGGATTTTGAATTATAATAATCATTAATCCTTAAAAAGACTTGTAAGAAACATAAACAATTATGATCATATGAAATAATAAAATATTATATGAAAATTAAATCGTTTTTGAGATGTATCGTTTTTTAGTTAATAAATAAATGAAAGGTATTATTGCTATCATTCTTGCATTGGCTGTGGTTTCAAATGCCACAAGCACAAAAGATTAAATTTTGGCTCTCCTCTAAACAGGAACAAAGGCCAGTGATGCAATTGACACAGTGTTTGGATTACTTAATGATTTAAAACAATCTAACATTGATGCTTAATTTGCTGCTGACTAAAAGAACGAAACAGATGAATGGGTTGGTGCCTAAACTATTGAATAATTCACAAAGATAAAGACTCTTAACTAAAAATTGTTCCAATAAGCTGTAGAAAATAGAGCTGAATATGAAAACGTATTATAATAAACCAAAAACTATTTGGCATGGAATGAAGCCAGAAGAGATTCAATTGCTGCTAAAATTGAAACACTTTCAGACAACTAATGTTTCTCTAACCAATTATTTGTTAAATCCATCAAGCACAATTAAGAAGCTTTGGAAGTCATCAGACTCCTCAAATAAGATGTTGCTGGATACATCGTAAATGGAGATTCTTTTGAATTCACTTAAGTCTAAGCTTAATCAGTTGCTGAAAAATTAAAATAATACAGTAACTTATTCTAAGAACATTAAATCAAATCATTCTTAGCTCTTGCATAAGAAGAATAAGTACAATTATAAATTTAATTAGGCTTCTGAATCATCTGGAAATGGATAAACATTAGCTGAAAGAGTTTTAGCTGTTCTTGAAGGATTAGAAGCTGAATTAGCAGCTTCATTAGAGAATTTGAAATAAAATGAAATTAATGCATCATGGGAATTAGCTGGATGGGTTTCATTATCTGAAGCTGAAATTGCTTCATTAGAAGTTGAATATGAAAGAAAATAAGTCTTTGCTGATAGAACTGCTACTGTATTATTTTTAATATATTCTAGTAAATCTAAGCTGCCTTAGCTCAATAAGCCAAATCAAAGATTATCTTATAAGAATCTTAAGATGCTTTAGATTAAGCCTAAGCTGATTTGGAAGCTAAAAGAGCTGATTATGCTGAAGCTAAAGCCAAAAGATTAGAAGAGAATGCCATCTTAGATGAAGTAATCATCATGTTCAAGAAATAAGTTGCATCATGGTCTGGAAGATGATATTCTTTTTAAATACAAAATTAGTCAATCAAAATATTAAAAGATTCCTTTCATTCTTATATCTATCTCCAAAAACAGAAATATTAATAAATTTCAATTATTAATTAGTAATCTTATATCAAAATCATCCTGTTGTTGTACTCCTCTTCATTTATAACATAGCATGCAATTACATACCCTATGAATCTGTATAAATTTTAAATTCCTTTGAATCTGCATCTAAATATTTGCATTTCTCATTTTAACAAAAATGACATTTCGGATTCTTGAATTCCAAAGCACAAATATGACAAATGTAATTCATACAACAATTTGATGCCAATATATCTATATTATATATAAAATAATTCTTTTACAATTGAAATAGCAAAAACATATTGGACAAGAATGCTAAGTTCTCTCTGTTATTACATTGTTGATCATTATTTCATTTAATTAATGAGTAGTTTTTATTTTTTTACTCTTATCTAAATATGCACCCCCAAATTCTTATAAAACATAAAGATTAGGATCCTTACGATTCATTTTCAAATATTCATTAACAGTGCTGTCTAATTAATGGTTAATAATCATACACATTTTATTAGTAGTATTAGGTTCCTACACCTCTTATGAGTTACCGCAACAGAAGTATTTTTCAAAAAATGAAACTTTTCTTCTACTCTCTTAGTTCTCAGCCATGTATTTGAAGTTTATTTTAAATATCAAAATTTATTGTTATTAAAGAAAATGATCAACTTTAAATTTCAATAATTCATATTGTTATTCTTTATAAAAATTATTATTTTAATTGATACTTGCTTTTACATGCTATTTAATTATTTAATATTTTTATTAAGAAAGATCTCTCATTAATTTTTACTTTCAATATAGAAATGGCAAAGCATTTGTGCAATCATAAATCAAAGCTATAATAAAACTATAATAGATGAATGGAAAGAATTTGCCCAAAAACCGATTTATCCATTTCTCTCTTAATGGACTATAATAATTATAATAAGTTACCTTAAATACAACATTATATTATAATAAAACACCAAAGCAACATATATTATATTTAACACAAAAATGAATGGATATTTCATCAAAAGCGTATGAGTGGCCATAATCATAGTATCTTACCATTAATATTCTTTTCTTATTATGATAGCAGTTACAACAATCATTGAAATCTATTCTTAATATAATTATAGAAGTACCACATGGTGATACCATAAACAAAATCTACATGGTTCAAAAAGTGAACCTTCAAAAATTGAGATCATAAGATCTATGAAGTAATAAATTGGAATAGGAACAGCCTGAGTATAAAACAAAGAAATACAAAGAATTGTATTATTCTTTAATCAAGAGCATCTTATTTGATTAATTGATAGTAATTAGGGATTGTAAATTATTTGTATAGCTGATAGAATGCAATAAGAAAAACTGGAAACATTTAAATTAAGCTCCAAATATACCTAAGATAAAAGAAACTTAATACGTACCATAACATATCATTATGATATCTAATTGAGTAAGTTGTTAATTGAAAAGGTATGTTAGCCGAATGAAAGGTCATAAATTTATTTATGTTTTAATCCGATAGTGAAGAGGAGGATTCATTAATAGTATGTTAAATAAAAAATATGAATGTAGATAGGTGATATCATATAAGGAAGATTTGAGATTCATTCAAAGATTGGTTGTGGTTCTTTTGGTTAGGTTTACAAAGTGATTGATTAAAAATATGGTAATACTCCATATGCAATGAAAGTGGAATTTGGAAGTTAAGAATGTAATTTATTGGAAAAGGAAATAAAAGTTTTAATAGATTTGAGGTAAGAATGAGATTTTGTAAAAAAATATAAGAAAAAAGGTTGGATTTCCAGAGATAAAGTTTTATGGGAAAGAAAAGAGATATACATTTTGTGTGATGAATATTTTAGGGAGAAATTTAGAATCCGTGATTAGAAAATGTGGAGGTTGGTTTTCACTTTAAACTGTTTTACGATTGGCAATTTAAGTTATTACACAGTCAAAATTAGATGATTGATAGGATTGAAGTCCTCCATTCATGCAAATATTTACATAGAGACCTTAAACCAGATAATTTTGTATTAGAAAATACGACCAGTCCAAAACTAATTAATTTAATTGATTTTGGATTATCAAAAAAATATGCTGTATTAATATATTTAGTTTATAGAATTCAAAAGGAGATCATATAAAATTGATAAAAAAACCAGGATTAATAGGTACTGCTAGATATGCAAGTATTAATGCACATGAATCATTGGAATAAGGAAGAAGAGATGATTTATAAAGTTTAGGTTATGTTTTATTGTATCTACTTACTGGGCATCTACCTTGGATGAATGTTAAAATTGAAAATAAAAATCTTAAATATGCTAAAATTCATCAAATGAAGAAAAATTGGAAATCAGAATAACTATTCTCTAAATAAGCCAAATGTTTTATTAAATTTATGTAAGATATTTAAAATTTAGATTTTACATAATAACCTAATTACAAATAACTTAAATCCTATTTCTAAGATGAATTATCTTAACTTTCTCTTAATTATTTAAATTATGGCTATGATTGGGAAAAACTTAAAGAATATTCCAGCAAAAATAAAAAACATTAAACTATTGCAATCATGAATAGTTCAGGAAGGGATGAAATAATGAATATTCAATTTTAAAAATTAAATAAACATGAATTACTTTTAAAAAAAAGTACAAAAAAATTAGATAATAAACCATTCCTTATTAATGTAGCTGAACCATCAGAACATTAAAAATAATTAGATGTTTAACCATAACATATTTCAGGAAATCCTTTTCTATAAATTCCTTAATATAATTCTTGTAGCAAAATCGATTAAATATCCTCATTAAATTAATCTAATCATACATCTAAAACTAATAATTATTTATAGAGTGATGATGTATTAAGTGAAGAATTATTACCAAATATTGAAATGACAGAAAGCTCTATACCTGGATTCAAAAAAATGTTTGATTATGAAATGATAGGAATTAAAAAACCTCTTATTCTCAACAAAAAAACATCCTGTATTTATTTTATTATTATTATTACATAGAAATGGATACAATCAAAATCATGTAATAAACATTTATTTAACCTTAAGTAATTAAAGATGAAGAGGAAAATCCAGACTTAGATTTCAGTGATTGATAAATTATTATTTTAATTTCTATATAAAAATTTTAAGCAAATATTTGTTAAATACCTTTTTTCATTCTTTAACACTTGTTACAAAGAATAAATCCTGTTTCGATATTTCTTGTTTCATTTCTTCATTTGGCTTAGCTTTTACAATAAGTTTTTTCATTACAAAATTTTACTATATGTTATCTAGATCTTATTCTGTCATTTTACCACGAATTCCATTAAAAAGAGGCTAGATAAATACAAATTCATTGTACATTTCTTGATTTTCTAAATGGAGAAGCAAAAGAGGCATCTACATGACTAGATTGAACAACAGAGGATTATGTTTTGATTTCAAAAGTATTTTCATATACTTTTATTAATTTAAAAGTATTTAGTTTCATCTCCTTCATATTTTGATTAATGTATTGAAGCATTTTACCAGATATTTTATTGAAATCACATTGTTTTTCTTTATAATCTAACTCTTGTTATGATGATATGCTAAAATCATTTTTTATAGGTAAACTTTTTGGATTAATTTTATTTTAAGAAGATGTATCTAATTCTGATTATAATATAGGAACTGTATTAAAGGATTATGGTATTTCAGTATACATTTTGATTTTTTGATTGATATCCATTTTTTATTTGTCAAAGGACTTAAATTCTGTAACATTTTTAGGTGATGTTTATGGTGTTTCAAATTTAAAAGAGATTTATCTATCTGATGTATTTTTTGTTTTTTCATCTTTTTCTCTATTAGATTTTAATGGAGTTGCACATTAAATTCTACCTCCAAATCCCGGTACTTTGATAGGTATTCCATTTGAAAAAGCAGGAGTGTTTGCTCTTGACATTAATTCAACTTTATTCTGTTTAGGTGAGGGTAATACAATAGGTTATGAATTAATTCTATGATGTGTTGATACATTCTTTCCTAGGGTGATCATCAATTTTTCAATTTCCTCTAAAGTAGAATCTGGTTTCGAAGTTAGTATGTATAGTTAATCAAGTTAACTTTTCAATTTAGATTCTGTAATAAAGTTAGAGACAACTTAAATGAGATTGCGAATAGCTGACCTTATATCCATAATATTAATAACCAAATTAAGAAGATCTGATTTACTATAATATTTTACTTGTATATAAAATTCAGTAAATTGATCTTCTTTTGATTTAAATCATGCCTTCTATTTATGCAGATGTTGAAAAAAAACAAATAGGTAACGTTAGTATTAAGATAGATATAATTTTTACTAATTCTTGTCAAAGTGTTTAATTATAATTATACTTCTATAAATAAATATTTAATGAAAAGTGTGGAGCAGTTATTTCCACAATTTTAGGTTGTTAACATAGTACGATAAAATACTTACAAGAAATCAGTGATAGTGAAACGAAGTGGATATCATTATATGCTCAGAATATTCAGTCTTGAAGGAATTCCTAAAGATAGAGTTTAATCGATTATTAAAATCTTAAACAAATTATCTAATCATAAGAATCNCATGACTAGATTGAACAACAGAGGATTATGTTTTGATTTCAAAAGTATTTTCATATACTTTTATTAATTTAAAAGTATTTAGTTTCATCTCCTTCATATTTTGATTAATGTATTGAAGCATTTTACCAGATATTTTATTGAAATCACATTGTTTTTCTTTATAATCTAACTCTTGTTATGATGATATGCTAAAATCATTTTTTATAGGTAAACTTTTTGGATTAATTTTATTTTAAGAAGATGTATCTAATTCTGATTATAATATAGGAACTGTATTAAAGGATTATGGTATTTCAGTATACATTTTGATTTTTTGATTGATATCCATTTTTTATTTGTCAAAGGACTTAAATTCTGTAACATTTTTAGGTGATGTTTATGGTGTTTCAAATTTAAAAGAGATTTATCTATCTGATGTATTTTTTGTTTTTTCATCTTTTTCTCTATTAGATTTTAATGGAGTTGCACATTAAATTCTACCTCCAAATCCCGGTACTTTGATAGGTATTCCATTTGAAAAAGCAGGAGTGTTTGCTCTTGACATTAATTCAACTTTATTCTGTTTAGGTGAGGGTAATACAATAGGTTATGAATTAATTCTATGATGTGTTGATACATTCTTTCCTAGGGTGATCATCAATTTTTCAATTTCCTCTAAAGTAGAATCTGGTTTCGAAGTTAGTATGTATAGTTAATCAAGTTAACTTTTCAATTTAGATTCTGTAATAAAGTTAGAGACAACTTAAATGAGATTGCGAATAGCTGACCTTATATCCATAATATTAATAACCAAATTAAGAAGATCTGATTTACTATAATATTTTACTTGTATATAAAATTCAGTAAATTGATCTTCTTTTGATTTAAATCATGCCTTCTATTTATGCAGATGTTGAAAAAAAACAAATAGGTAACGTTAGTATTAAGATAGATATAATTTTTACTAATTCTTGTCAAAGTGTTTAATTATAATTATACTTCTATAAATAAATATTTAATGAAAAGTGTGGAGCAGTTATTTCCACAATTTTAGGTTGTTAACATAGTACGATAAAATACTTACAAGAAATCAGTGATAGTGAAACGAAGTGGATATCATTATATGCTCAGAATATTCAGTCTTGAAGGAATTCCTAAAGATAGAGTTTAATCGATTATTAAAATCTTAAACAAATTATCTAATCATAAGAATCCTCATATTGTGAAATTTTATGAAGCATCGTTTGATCATGATATGACATATTTAGGGTAATGATTAATATTTGAATATTAGCATTGTCAGTGAATACTTAGATAAATAATATGAATTTCCTATGAAAGAATCTGATATATGGAATATTATCTAAGAGGTATCCAAACATTTACTATTTAGCTATCTTTTGCATTATAATAATATCATCCTAAAAGAGTGCATGGAAAATTATAATTATCAAATTTATTTTAAAGTAAAGGAAGAACAATTTTGGGTGAGATGAATGTTCTATATTATTTACATAAATAAAACTATCAAGATATCTATTTATTAGCACCTGAATTCATTAAGTCTTAAATTTATGATTATAAATCAGATATTTGGATGGTTGGATATATGTTATACTAAATGATGTTTAAAGATCCTCCCATTATTGCAAATAATGTTGATATTTTACATAAAAAGATTCTCAAAGGCATTCAATTAACATATAATCCAAATTATAGTCTTAACTTAAATAACTTATTAAGATTAATGATGTGTTATGATCCTGAACTCAGACCAAATGTTGATTAAATATAATACTTTTGTTAACAATCTTAAACTACAAATGAAGAAATTAATATTAATAAAATATTACCTAAATTCAAAGTAGATAAAGTTGTATTACATAAAAAAAGAACAGAAAAAAAATAAGAACCTATTCAAAACATTGTTTATTTGAATGAAGATTAATTCAAATAACCTTATTTTCCTCCCTCAAAAATTATAAAACAAAAAAGAATCTTTTTATCAAAATAAACAACATCAGTTATGGATTTTGGTCCATCTTAAAAAACAACTTTTTCTGTCTAGTTACCAAAAGTTCTAAATTATTAATTTAGTAAATTAAAAGTAAAGGAAGCTAGCACAGTTCCAGGTTCTATTGGAAATGCTGAATAATTAGAAAAGTATATTATTTATTTATTATTTAGATTGTAGAATAAATCTTAAATTAATAAATTAGAATTTGATAATCTTTTTCCATAATCCAAATAAACTTTATAAACTCAGAGAAAATCTCCCAATAGAATTTAAATACAATAAGAATTTTAAAATAGATAAAAAAGTTAAAGATTATTTTCATGAACAATTCAAAATTTTTATCTTATAATTATCAATTTTATTTTTATATGAAGAAGAATTTTCAAAAATAAACTACAGTCCTTAACATCTAATCACACAGATCTGAAAGATCGAATAGTTCAAATATCTTTTAAGAGCCTCATTGCAACAGTATTAAGATTTGTAAATTATTGAAAACTTATTAGCTTAATTAGCAAAAAAAAATATTAGATGTGACAAATACTCTACTTAAGAAACCTTAATTAGTGAAGCAATTTCCTCTCAACTAAATCAAACCTAAATCAAGCTAAAAAAAATTGATTAACTAAAAAATTAGTTACAAAAATTAAAATAAAATTTAGAAAACTAATCAAAATAAAAATTAAATCTATGCAATATCATAGATGATACAATTTAAAATTTAATTTAACTTAAAGATTTATTTTAAATCAAAAAATTAGAAGAACCATGGTAAGAAATTATTCAAATGGAGCAAGATATCTATTTAAATGAAGAAAATATTATTAAATCTATATAAATTTCTCATTTTAATTAAATTATAATCCAACATTAATTAGGCATACTTTAATTAGACTCCTAATTACAAAAAATACAGCAATAGAATTTTTGGGTGACTTAAATTTAAACTTTACATGAAACATTTATTTAAAAGAATCATGTGATTTTGCAATTGCTTAAACCAAAAACTTTAAATAACCTACAATAGTCTATCAAAAATAATGGAGGGAATTTTGGCCATTCTTTTGGGTAGAAATATTGATTTAAATGTAGAAAAGATTAGATAACTTTATAATATATAAACTTATTACTCTTATTTTATCATTCCTAAAAATGATAATTTAAAATGATTTAAAAACAAAATTAATTTCTTATTGTACTTAAAAATATACCTAATTTTCAATAAATTAGTTCTGAAATAAATTAAATCTTCATCAAATTCTTGAAATTTTACAATATTAATTTATATTTATAAGATCTTGTCAAGGATTATTTCTACCTTTATCATATATATTATATAATTCATTATTATTATAATGTTTATTGTAATTATGAGTGCTATATTTATTTATCTATCTATAGTCAATAACTTGATTAGAATTTAGTCTTTATATTATAAGATTATTCCTTAAGATATGATTATAAAATAATTTTGCATAATATCAAAAAAAATAATTATTCAACTATAATAAATATTTATTTTTTATTCTTATTTTAAGGTTTTTTCTTGGTGTTTTGTGATGCAAAAAAATAAGAATAAAAGAGTTATTTTTGAAGAGAAATAGGAATATAAAAAAATTAAATGAATAGATTGGAATTTGATTAATTTTATTAATGTAAAACTCAGTTCCATAACAATAGTAGAAGATTATGAATTTATCATAATTTTTGATTTCATTATAGAATACATTAGTAAGAAATAGTTTAGAGATTAGATTTCCAAAATGGACCAAACACATCAAAATGAAGCTAAAAGACTAGATGATTAATTATTAGAATTGAAGTCATTAAAAAAGTAAATAAAACATAAAGAATTATGAAGTGAATTTTGGATATAAAATTAAATAAAACTATATATAATATAAATGGGAAAGAAAATGAAGATAGAGTTATGAATTATTGTTATAAACTTGATATCAAGATCCTCTTTCAATAATTTTAGATCTAACTCTGTCAACTAAGTCTAACTCTTATTTTCTGACTGAGGTGGCCTTTTCGTATTCAGAAGCAAAATCATTACACATTCTGGTAGCACTGTCAAAGATTTCACCATTTCTTACCTAAAGAAATGAATATAAGATTTACCTTCTTTCCTCTAGCACTATCAATAATAGCTGATTATTAATCTTAACAAATATCCATGGTAGTGATATGATCTCTTAATTTATTTTCAGTTCTCTTTAAATTGTTGTAATATTCGACTAAATGAACTCTTCTATCATCATACTCTTAAATGGATTAGTCTTCCTCTTCTGAAATCTTTTATAAGTTTGTATACAAATTTTATTCTAAGTTTTATAAAAGTTATTTAAGTCTTTCAAATACTTCAATATAGCTATTTTTAATAATTATATATACCCTCCATTTTATGTAAGCATTTAAGCAAAGATACTTGAAATTTAACTCATGATGTTAGTTGTCTTTAATTTGACTGCATCTTAAATCATTCTTAAAGAGATCTCAGACATTTAAGCTAATGAAGCACCTCCTGATTAGAAACTATCTAAAATTTTCAAACTTTCTTAGATTGATCTTAAGGCATCAATATGGTCTTATTTTTTGGCATTATAATTTTAAGCACCAGCTTATCTAATGGAATCTAAGATTTTAATATCAGTATCTGTTGCCTGATATGATAAATTATATTATGTACTTTTTGACTATCTAAATTGTTATCTAATTCAGCATCAGCCTTCTTTTTTGAGGTTGAACAATTTTCATATTATTCAGTTGCTCTATTTAAGACTTATTCAGCATCTTTAACATCTTTAGTTCTTAATTCTAATTCAGCACTACATTGATTTCTTTAGTCGGTATATAATTAATCATGTCTGATTTATTCTGAATCAATAGAGGCTCTTAAGCTATCTAAAAAGTTGACTGCTGTATCAACAGAACCACCTGAAGATAATTTGCTTTCTAATTCAGTCAAGATGCTAACCAAAGATGGCTTACTTTTGCCAATAATTGGATATCTATGATTAATATTTATAGAACTCACTTATGGATAAGATCACCAGCAAAGGCATTTCCTGCTAATAATAACACTAATGTCACTGCAATTACTTTCATTATTATAATTAAAATAAAAACGGATTATATTATTAACTACTTATAAATATATAATCATAGAAGTTATTAATAAAATAAAATATATCCTTATTGTTACAGTACATCAATGTTATTAACTTATTTTATTTTTTGATCATTAAAAAGCCACCATTTATTCTATCTCTTACAATATGAATAATAATGGCCTTATTCTAAAGATCCAGAATGGACAATAACTCCGACTAAACTGTATTTAGTTCCACAAAAAGTCGATTCTACTGAAAATTTAACATGTTGAATGATTTTGTTTGATTTTGGAAAAAATTTGAATCTTTTTAAATGAAGAATAAGATATTAAGGTAATTTAGTTATTCTTGTTTTTTTTATAGCAGTTTTTTTTTTATGACAACTATCACATTTATAATCTTAGATTAATTCATCTTTTAGAAATTCATCTAAAGATTAATGAATAGAATTAATTTTAGTTAAAGCTAAAGATAAAGTCAAAAAATCTTCAATAATTGATGATTTATGTTAACAATTTTTGCAAATAATTTCACTAATTAACTTTCCCTAAAGATATTTTTCAATTATGTTTGGTAATTTAGATTATGATTATGTTTATTTTCTATTAAAATTATTAATTTCATCATCAAAACTAGACATCAAAAACAACAAAAATTCTAATGCATCATGTTACTATTTTGGATTAAATTTTTTAGTAATTGTATTTCTTAATGAATTAATTTTGATATAATCGTATTAAGTATCTTTAAGTTATCTAAGAAGTTCTTAATAATTTTTACACAATGTCATCATTTAAGAGTGTTATCTATTGATGGAATTTAATATGAAATTATTAAGTTCTTAAATACTCATCATACATTATAGAGTTGAATGCATGTAACAAAAGTATAATTCATTTTTCAAACCTTTGACTGGAATTTCAGGATTGATATCATATTAAGATAAACTTGAAATAATGCTGATTTCAACTGATTTTGCTCTGTCTGTTGTAGAACTTGCATTTGAAGTAGGAGATGGAGGAATTTTTTCATCCAGTATTTCAGGACCACCACTATACTCTTCAAGAAGGAACTTCCAAACTGTTTCATTTACAACAAAGAAACCTACATTCCTTACTTAATTTCTATTCTATAGTAAATCTGTATTGTCTATTGGACCAGGTAATGTGCTTGAATTATCATATAAGTATGTTGTATATTTTTATGCCCAAGTCCCATTTAATCTATACCAATCAGAATCGTTATTCTTTTTTAAATCAACCAATCTCTTTATTAATTGACATTCCAATTCTCTACGACAGTTTCCTTAAGCATTTCTGAATTAATTTTATAATTTGAGTATTTAAGGAACTTCATGAGAATATGATGGACTCTTCTTCTATGGAAACTAGGGTACATGCTAATTTATTGAGCTGCTTTTGTTATACACTATATTACATTACTTATCTTCTTCATTCAAGTTTTCACTATTATTATCTGTGTCTTTAAATTATTGCATTTTACAAATTAATTAAAAACAATATAATATCAAACAAAATCAAACCTGTTAATAAATATCTAAATATTATACATTTTATCATAAGTTTCTATAAGTAAATATTTGTTTCTTAAACTCTTCCTTTATTTAAACTTTCGTATTTTCTTTTTGAATTTATGAAAAGGCTTTTTTAATTTATCTTCAATATTTTAATATTTGCTAATGTCTATGTAGAATTATTCACAAATGTTAAGACTATTTATTTTTGCAATTAATTATTTATAATAAATTTTATGTTATTATTAGTTAATAGAAAATTATATATATATATATAATTAATTAAAAGGCAATCACATTGTTAACAAAATCAAATTAAGTTGTTGAAATAACTAAAAAAAATAAACTTCAAAAATATTTATAATTAATTATTAGAACTTATTTTATCCTTAAAAATTATTTAAATTCTTTTTTGATCAATAAATAATTTAAAATGAATTATTGGTATTTTCTTGGAGATTGGTAGTTTGTAAACATATATGCAATTCTTTAAATAACTCTTAGTCTTATAAGCATACTCTTCAGACATATCTTAAATATTTAAGATTAAATTCAGAATTAATCAAAGTTTTATAATTACCTTTGCCAATAAATTCCATTCTAGGAGTGAAAGAATAAAGATCATAAGTAATAAACAAAGTATAATCTCTTTTGCGATCTTGCATAATTTCTTTAACTGGTTTTTCCCTAATTTCATAATTATAACTTAATCTTCTTTTTCTACAGAATTGGTTTAGACAATGGTAAATTAAGCCTAAATTCAGAGGAATCCCCAATTAAAGTATAAAGTATATATTTATTTATTTAACTCATATAAATGAGATAGGAGGAATATTTATAAACTGGAAAGTCTTTTACCATCTGGATCAGATGAAATGAGAATTATGTATCATATTTAGTTTAGGTTGCATTTAAAAAAGTGGCAAAAAGGATTATAATAAATCTCATTATACGTTCATCTAGAAATGCTGCTCTTGGTTGTATAGAATGCTTAAAAATAATTAAATAAGAATAATAAATTTATTAGACAACTAACAAATTGCTTTAGGATGATAGATAATCATGTGTTATTAAGGATTAATAACTATAATCTAAAATAAAACCATATGAATTATTTAGATAACTTATTAAATTCAATAAATATTTAAATGAAATACATGATTTTAATAATTTACCAAATGTTAAAGTTATAAATTCTTAATTAAATAAATAAGATATTAAACTTGAAGTATTTAAATATGTTGAAGTTAATGGTGACTATATAGATATATATAATAATATTGATTTATTTGGAGGTTATGCAACTATAAGATTTGAAATTAATTAATGGTAAGTTTTAAAACAAACTAAACTTGATTATGTATATGTTGCACTTAATGAGGTGCATTCTATTTAAAAAATATAGTCAAAAATTAAATTAAAATTATTGGAGTTATGTTATATGGCTCAACTAAAAGAGAATCAACAATCTGTTTTAAAATCATAGAAGGAATTATTGGTGAATTTTTTTTAGTTTCCACTGAAGATTTTGAAAAATCTAAATGTGAATTAGCAAAAGCGGATGAAATTGCAGAATTCATTTCAGCCATAGTTTATGCTGGCTGTAAAAAATACTAAGTATACAAATAGTCTTTCATTCTCTTAGGAAGCAATGTTACTGTTAATGATTTATCTAAACTTATATCTAAATATCAATTATGATTATTCTATATCTTATTATTCATTAATTTGTTAAATAGAATTGCATCTCGTCATAATCATCTTAACTATTAAACTTTATAACCACACTCTCCTTCGAATTGTACATAAATCCAGGAGTTACCTACTTTAATTCTGCCACTAATGCTTATTTAGGTTTCAAGATCAATTTTGTATGTTCCAATACAAATTTTATCGCAGCCTAATATTATTTACATATTACTTTTTAATTAGGAATTGTCATATCTTCACTATCATATAATAATATATTTCTATCTATTGAAACTATTGCTAAACAATTTTACCACTTAGTTAGTACTGATCCAATATCTCTCTATAATCTAGAAAAAAATTTCAAAATAAAAGGATTTGATTATGGTAATGTCGGTTTCACTAGTGATAAAGGAAATTAAGTTAAATAATATTTTATTTAAGGGAATCCTATTTCTTGAGATTTTAAAACATCCTTAATATATCCCACATCCTTAAATATTATTTAACTGCTTTCCTCTATTGAATTATACTCTTTAAATTTTTGTAGTACCAACTACACTTAAGCACTTGGAGTTGTACCTGAATATGTTTCATGAAATTTTTCCAAATAATATCTCATTCCTACTGAAATTATTTCTAATCTTTAAGATTCTTATTTAATAATTTCATTATAATATGCAATTATATCTTCTCCTAATTGAGCTAATTAAATAATTTATTAATGCATAACATGCTTAAACTTTCTTTCTTAATTGAAAAGATCTTTAGACCTTTTTTTATGATTACCTCCATTACTCATCATTTCATTATATAATTTATAAAATTTCTTGCTTCTTTCATTAAGAATAGCAAGCTATTCTCTTGCTGATTTTCTTTTTGTTTTAATTTTTGCAACAATTGCATTAATATTACTAGAATAAGCATTAATATTTGTTTCGAATTTTTCTTTTATCATTTTTTCCATATTTGTAATTAAAATCTAAAGTGATTTGCCTTATGACTAATGTAATTAATTGAGATGTTCTAATGAAGCTGAAAATTTAGGATAGATGACTTGATCTTAATCTTTAAAGATAGAGAGAAATGAAGGATTTTTATGAGTTAATAATTTAACATTATTTTATTCTAAGGTAATACGTTCTTTTAAAAAAGATATAATTGATTAGAGACTACGATCAGAGATTAGAACTCTTAAGTCTAGCTGTTCTATGACAGTATCAGAACAAAGTAAATGTTATTTTGCATTAGTAAGTATAAATTCTTCAGATGTTTTGAATTATAGAAATCCTTCACTTTTTCTATTAATACTCATTTCACGAAAGATCTTTTTTAATTTAGTAATTATATAATACATTGCCTTTTAATTCTGGATTAATAGGTTTTTATGGTGGTGGAAGAGGATTTTATGGTGGGATATGATTTTCCAGATTTTGTTATGTAATGAGGTCTCTATCAATATCTCGTATTGATTCAAATTAACCATCAGGGTTGTTATAAGTTTGCATACAAAAATTCCCTTATAAATTAAAATTAATATTAAAATAAATTCAATAAGGGGGAGGAGAGGAGATTTTTGCATATTCTATAATAAAGTTTAAATATTCCTTTGAATTGATGTTGTAAAAGGTATGTTGTATGTAAATAATATATTTTTTGAATATTAAATTAAAATGGCTTGTCATTTTTTCTAAGGTTTTTCAACTTTTCTTTTATTTTTTCTTTTCTTGTCTTATAAATATATAATGATTGTATTACTGTCATCATCTTCATCATTTTAATTATTGAGCTAATAAGCTAAAGTTTCTTTGATAAGTGGTCTTTGGATATCAATAGGTTTATCAATAATCTTGGCATTAGCATTAACTATTTAATCATTAATAGTTAATTATAAATGGACTGGAGGACGTAAAGCCTCCTGCAATTATGAGGACGATGAATACAAGAGTAAATAACTTGATAATTAAATAGTCTTCAATACTTCCTATTTTACTAAAATACATATATTCCAATAAGATCTCCATATTTTTTAAATTCCTAATACACATTAAAAGCAAGCACATCTTTATCAAATTCAACTTAAACTTCAAAATTTCTTAACAACTCTTAAACAGGTCGTTATTTTTTAGCCATTACTAATAGTGGTATGCCCTTTACATGTAAACAGGGCCTCAAGTTTACTAAAAATTGCGCACTATTTTCATCTTAAAATTATAATTCCAAAAATTGCATCTTATCTAAAGTGTCTTAATATTTAATATAAATAATAACTCCAAATATGATTGATAGGAGCATTCTATTTATGATGTTATACAATCTCTTAAATCACTTCATTCTCATTAACTTCTTAAGGAATCGAAAATATATAAACAGTATGCTTATCTGTAGAAACTTATTATGGTTTTATTGGTTGCACACTTTCCTTATTGGATTCTCTCGATGAACTTTATGATGAATGTCTATTTTTCTTTGTTTTCTTCATCTTCCTTGGCTCACTCGAAGAAGATGGAGATCTTCTCTTAATTCCTTGCCATACTTATTTATTATCAATTCTTTTGTTTTTCTTCTTCTTACTCGTACTTCTACTCTTGTATCTCCTTGAAGAATCACTACTGTCACTTCTACCTTTTGATTATTGCTAAAATTATATTAAAATTAAAACATTTCTTCTTAAAGAACGTTCTAAGTGCTCTTTGTCTAACATTTTCTTGTTTTCTAAATAATTCTTGAATGCATCACTTAACTCAACAGTCTCTTTTTATCTTCCTATATGAATAACATCCAAAAAACCAATTACCATTCCTTCCAAAATTGAAATGCTTTTTTCCAATATATACTAATTTAGCATTATCATCATTAGTCATTCCTATAGCTACATCACAAAATGATCCTTACTAATTAAACATTTAGACAATTTCACATGATCCAGCCAAATTAACTAAATATTACAATACATACCTTTCCTTTTAATAAAACTTAAGAATTCATTATCACTCATACCATTCATGTGTACATGACGAACATAAAAATGCACTTTGAATTCACTATTAGATAAATAACGCTTTCCAATTTTATTCTCAAAAGATGATGATGGAGATGAATCATTTGAAGAGGTACGCTTCTTAGTTGAAGTCTTATGAACAGGATCATTTCGACTTTCTTCAGGATACTAAGCTACGTTACCTCCCTCCTCTTTTGTTTCTCCTTTTATACCATCATCTTATTGTTGTTACTGCTATATCATATTAATTATTTAAATATTAATGTTAAATATTTTATTGTTTAAACCATCTACTTCTTCATCATTTTATATTTTATATTATAATATGTTTACATAACCATAATTAGACATTACCCATCCTCATAATATTAATCATTACTATAGTAAATTTTTTCAATATCATACAAATACTTTTATTGCTTAAGGTTTTAAAAGAACCAACTAATATCAATCCTTAATTACAGAACAACAACTTTTATAAAAAAGAAATGAATTTTGGGGTAATTCTTCATTTAATATTAAGAAACTCGAATTGAAGGGAATTAAGATATATGGTAAATACTCAGAGATGTATTAAATATGGATGAAGGCAATTTTATATATAATAAATAGAAAATGCTTAAATTACTCTAAAAGAAGCTAATATCATTATGCCTGATAATAATATTTAATTAATCTATGATATGTTTGGCAACAGATACGCTATTCCAATCTTTGTTATCAATTTACCTGTATCCTATATCTAAAATGAAAATTACAATTAAAATTATGAGGAAAAGATTCTTACTGTAATGGATTACACATATTATTATTAGTTTAAAATTAGGAGTGCAAGATGGGAAGATGATTTACATGTTACTTATAACAATACAAATAAGATTGATTTATTGATTAACGAATTAAAGATTAAAGAAAATTTGTAAAATGTTAGATTGTTTCTAAATGGTTAAGAAATGATGAAGGATTAAGTTTTTGGATATTATAATATTAATAATGAGTCTATTGTACAAGCATTCCTATTTTGATTAATAAAATATAATTTATAATGAATAAATAGAGACGTTAGAAAATATTGCCAATACAATAGATTTAGGCTAAACTTAAATAACTTAAATAAAGTATTCGAGCTAGCGAGATTAAGTCTTTGAGATCCTCATGTTTATTTACTGAAACCACTCCAATTGAAAAATTAGATATTAAAGCAAATTAGAATCAAAATAACAGTGTAGATGGAAGGACCATGTATGTAAAGCCTTCTTTCAAGAAAAAGATGAAAACTACTAAAAGGTAATTAAGGAAATAAGTAAAGTCCTCAATCAATGAAAGTGAAAACAAGTTCAATGATTACCCAATCCATAACTACAGTATCTCCAAAGAAGCCATTAAAAGATTTATTAAAAAGTTATATTAAAAGCAAAATTCCGAAAAGTAGAACAACTTCTAAATCAAAATCACCTTAAAAGTTAAAAAAAATCTCGAGTCCTTAATAAAGATAGAATAGAAGTTAAAGCAAAAAGAAGCAAAAATAAAAACAAAAAACAATAGTGAGTCCATAAATGAAGAAATCTAAAAAGCAAAAAACCTAAGTGCAATATTATCAACCATAAATAAGTAAGATCAGTTCAATAAGATTAAATACATTTTCAGTGAGCGAAGATCCTCAGAAAATGTTATTAAATTCTATAATTGAAGAATTGTAATTAATGAATGAAAAATAAATGATTGAATTATAATAGTTTTTAAAAAACATCAANTTATATATAATAAATAGAAAATGCTTAAATTACTCTAAAAGAAGCTAATATCATTATGCCTGATAATAATATTTAATTAATCTATGATATGTTTGGCAACAGATACGCTATTCCAATCTTTGTTATCAATTTACCTGTATCCTATATCTAAAATGAAAATTACAATTAAAATTATGAGGAAAAGATTCTTACTGTAATGGATTACACATATTATTATTAGTTTAAAATTAGGAGTGCAAGATGGGAAGATGATTTACATGTTACTTATAACAATACAAATAAGATTGATTTATTGATTAACGAATTAAAGATTAAAGAAAATTTGTAAAATGTTAGATTGTTTCTAAATGGTTAAGAAATGATGAAGGATTAAGTTTTTGGATATTATAATATTAATAATGAGTCTATTGTACAAGCATTCCTATTTTGATTAATAAAATATAATTTATAATGAATAAATAGAGACGTTAGAAAATATTGCCAATACAATAGATTTAGGCTAAACTTAAATAACTTAAATAAAGTATTCGAGCTAGCGAGATTAAGTCTTTGAGATCCTCATGTTTATTTACTGAAACCACTCCAATTGAAAAATTAGATATTAAAGCAAATTAGAATCAAAATAACAGTGTAGATGGAAGGACCATGTATGTAAAGCCTTCTTTCAAGAAAAAGATGAAAACTACTAAAAGGTAATTAAGGAAATAAGTAAAGTCCTCAATCAATGAAAGTGAAAACAAGTTCAATGATTACCCAATCCATAACTACAGTATCTCCAAAGAAGCCATTAAAAGATTTATTAAAAAGTTATATTAAAAGCAAAATTCCGAAAAGTAGAACAACTTCTAAATCAAAATCACCTTAAAAGTTAAAAAAAATCTCGAGTCCTTAATAAAGATAGAATAGAAGTTAAAGCAAAAAGAAGCAAAAATAAAAACAAAAAACAATAGTGAGTCCATAAATGAAGAAATCTAAAAAGCAAAAAACCTAAGTGCAATATTATCAACCATAAATAAGTAAGATCAGTTCAATAAGATTAAATACATTTTCAGTGAGCGAAGATCCTCAGAAAATGTTATTAAATTCTATAATTGAAGAATTGTAATTAATGAATGAAAAATAAATGATTGAATTATAATAGTTTTTAAAAAACATCAAATAAGAGAAAAAAGATGAAGCCTAATAAACAAGTATACATGAAAAATTTAATATTCAGAAGAAGCATCAATAATTTGCATTTTAAGAAAGTCTTCCTTTAGATATCATAAATGAAATATGTCATCAAAGAGAGGAAGGTATCAAGCTTCGTGTTAATATGTAAATGGATGCATTTAACAATCTCTTATAATAATAAAAAATATCTCCTAGAACTTTCAAAAATAACAATCAACTTCTTTAATAATGGGAAATCTAATAAACAGAGAAATTATACAAGTATCAAGAAAAACTTAAGAATATCTAAAATGTTACTAATAAGATATAATAAAAAACTCAAAAAGACTTGTAATGTATACAAGAATTATAAGAAAATAAATCTGTTGTAGTTTAATAGTTATGTACTAAAATCGATATTATTTAGAGTAAATTTCATTCGAATCAAGTTATTTAGATTATTCTGACCTATAATTAAGTACTCCAAAATAATAGTAAAGTATCAATTTCAAAAGAAAAGACATTTTAATAGATGTTGAATTTTAACCATAATAACATATAGTTGAAATTTAAACTAATGTTGGAACTATCAGTTTATTCGTTGAAGTTCTCTGTTAGTACATTACTGGTATATATAATTATGATTAAAATTAGAAACAAATTTAAATTCATTTATCAAGAGAATGAATTATCCTTTTGGTTTATAACCTTTCAGTAAATTACGAAAAATTCATGGATATGACATTATAGAAGATCCTAAATATAAATATCCAATATAGGATTTTATATTTACAGAATTATAAGTACGATATTATCATAGAATAAGCAAAATAGTTCCTTATATGAAAAAATTCATAATAGAGCTATATTTGATACATTTAACCAAATTCTAAATTAATATCGTCCATTTTATTATTGTAATGGATAACCTTATCCTTGGGAATATAATAGAAATCTCGTCGTAATCTTATACAATATTTAAAATATCAATTTATTGTTAGAAAAAGCTAGAGAAAAACTCATTTTTTATGCATCCATTTTATGTGGATTAATTAATGATGATGAAGAAAACAATGAATAATTTCTCAATTATGAACAAGCATTATAAAACTTGGTCAATTCTGATTATTTATCCTAATTAAGAAATGAACGATTGCAGTTGTGTATCAATAACGAAGTAAGAAAAAAACACCATTATATTATAGATACAAGAATAAGAATACATGTGGTCATATACAGATACAACTGAAACCTTGGTTGAAATAACAGATCACATTTTCGAAGATTTAATAAATGAACTAATACTTGAATTATAATGATAACAAGATTCCATTTCTCAGGTTTCTCTTTTAATCATCCATAGTAAAATATTACTTTTAATTTATGTTTGCATAATAATTAATTTTTCATTTGCCTTCCTTATGAATAATCTTTTGTACAAAAATAAAGTTTTTAATAATAATAAGATCAAATTACTATCTATACACAATTAATCTCTTATTTATACGTAACTTAATATATAGATATTTTTTTAACATCAATAAATCAAGAGTAATCTTAATAACAGAGATTGGCTATAAAAGAGATAACATAATTCCACATTTTTACTCTTATTTATAGAAAGAGAACTTCAATATTTAATAGATCTTAAAATAATTATCTAAAATATAATATTCTTTATTCTCATTAAAAAAATAGAAAATATCTAACAATTTCTATAACATCTCTTTCAGAATCTTTAGCTAAATATATATATTCTTCTAAATCTCTTTTAATGATGCTTATCAACAACTTCTCATCAACATTAATTAAAAAAAATGTGTAATGTTAAGATTAGTAAAATAAACTTATTAAGAAAATAATGTAATAATAATTAAATTTGAATAAAATAAGATAAGATTAAAAATCATAATGTCAACTAATAGTTTATAGAATTTATTTAATTTCAATAGTGCTAATAGGTTTTTATAGAAAATAATCCATTCCAACTTCTTTGCACATTTATTTAGTCTACATATCAGTATAAGCAGTTTAGGCAATAATGATAGGAGGATCTAAATCAACAGAATGGCAAAATTCAAGTATTTATTGAGTAGCTTAAATACCATTCATAATGGGCATTTCAACATCCATGAGAATAACTTAATAGTATTATAATTTGAATTTATCTAATCCTTCTTTGCCATTATGCGCTGAATCACATCTAATATTTAATCTAGATAGCATAGTAGTCAGTGCATAGATATTAACAAATTCATCATCAACAATTAAAATTTTTGCTCGATCATCAGCATATTCACTAACAACTTAATCTATTTAAGGATATATATTTTTTTAAGGTTTTTTAGGTCCTTCTCTAAAAACATAAGGAGCACAAATGATATCATCTGGTTCTGAAAAATCTTAGAATGAAAAATTATAAATACTTTCTGATTATTTTTCAATAAGTTTTTATTTCCCTTTTAAGGAGAAAGTAAAAGATGATTATCGCTTTTTATCACTAGGACTAATGAGAAAACTTTATTCTAAGATACTTCTACCTGAACTGTGTATTTTATTGTATTTGATAGTTCTTCTACTAACAAGATCAGGTAAATCCATCGTTTTAAGATCTTCAACAAAGAACCAAAATTAAGAACCAATTTTATTCGCAGATGAAAAATGTATACCAGATTCATAGTTTGGAGATAAACCATTACAAATAGTATTACTTATCATAAGACCTAGACCATAATTAAGATTAGACTTTCTATTATGCGGTTGTTTGAGAAACTCTGATAATTTATTTTAAGTATTTTAATCCATTCCAGAGCCTGTGTCTTAGACAATGACTTTAATAAATAATTAATCATTAATGACTAATTCTTAAACATCAATAGTAACACTTCCAGAGAATGTAAACTTTTATGCATTAGACAAAAGATTATTTAAAACTTATTTAAATCTTTAACCATCTGTATGAATAGAGAATTCATTAATTTTGACATTAAATTATACACCTTTCATTTTGAGTTGTTATCGATATAATTCTGCTACTTCATGAATTAATAGTTAGATATTTTGTATTTGTATAGTTAATACAAAGTTCTTAGATAAGATTAAACTGAAATCTCTAACATCTTAGACAATAGAATTGAGTATGTAACAAGAATTCAAAATAGGTTAGATACAAGTATTTACAATATGATCATCTTCAATATCTTCTATAGCATTTTCAGCAAGTATTCTAATACAATTCAATGAAGTGCTAAATTCATGACTAAAACTACGAAATAATTAATTCATAAGTTATTTAGTAATCTTTCTTTCCCAATAATCTCTTATTTCATACATGTCCTAGAAATTTAAACATACATTTTCATTAATGATAGTTAATTCAATTACATAATTATCTCCAAAAGGAGTAGAACAATCTAATACTTTACATTTAATAAGATCTGTAATTTCTATTAATTATAAAAGATTGTTAATTTTATATTTTTTAAATTGTTTATCAAGTTTATGAATAATAATATCTTTAAGTATTTATTAGATTAATATAGGATCATCAGTGCCAATTAATTTATTATAATCTGAAGTTTAAGATATCATCTTGCCTTAACGATTAACTATAAGATCATATTTATCATTCTAATTTATTATTAAACTATCTGATGGGTTTATCCATGTTTTCGAATAACTATGATTCTTTGATACTTAAGGTATTTATTATTACTCTACTGGGTGATAAATTGATAACCAAACTAAAATAAGGAATGCATAACCTACTATTGTATGTTCATAACTGAATTCTAATTTCACACTTACTACTATTGCTATAAAAGGTAAACAAACAAACATTTTTTTAGGATGTTAATGATTCTGAATTGGAATTATATAAAGCAACCTTTTGGGAATAATGCAAAATACATCTCGCTTATATGTGTTGATCCTATTGTTCTTAATATATTTCCAACCAATAACAGTACAAGTAATTCAATCCGATTATTCTTCAATTCTCTTCTCTTTACTCGTAAACCAAACCATACACACAAAACTACCAACGACGATAACATAGTGTATAATTAATAGCTTCTCTGCTAATCTAAGAAATATTCACCCAATGATGCTCCCCCTATTCCTACAATATACAATAAATCAATAATAATCATATTTATAGTAAATTATTCACTAATCTTTTAACCATCAAATACTGATGAGATACATCACCCTATTTAATCACTCTTATTCTACATTTTATATCAAATTATTTACATATCCCACAAAGTTCTATACTTTCTATATTCATCTCCATTATTTGCCCTTATTCATTTAATCATCGATCAAAAATACTCTCTAATCTTTAAACTTATTTGCTTAATTATTCCCACTATTTCTTAATTTGCTTATACATAACAATTTATGTTCCTTGGATAAATCAGCATATCATAGTTGCAATAATTTTCTTATTATTACTGCCCCTAGAATTATATGCATAGTAACATCAGTTAAGAGAATGGCCTCTTTAGATATGAGAAGCTAAGGGCAATATTTTTAAACAAACAAATCAATGAACAGGAACCAAAGAGTTTGAGGATTAAAACCATTTACATATCCTTCTTCTATAAACAATTCCAAACAAGGTGTTCATTCATTGTAATTAGCAAAAATACGCATAAAGATTACATTATTACTTAACCTATAATTTCAATTAATGTAAGTATGCATTGGTAATTTCAGTTTTGAATATTAAATCAAATTTCATGAATAAGTTTGTTTTAGTAGTTTATTGAAAAAGAAAGGCTAAATTCGATACTTTGTTTGAATGATTCCTAATTGAAAAAATTTTATATATTTATTAATCATTAAATTGATTACAAAAACAAAAACAATTATTATTATAATTTGAGTTACTTGACTCAAATTTATTATTAACATATCTATAAACATGATCGAATTTATCATAAATATCTTCTTAACTTTATATATTTGGTATATTTGCTTTAGATTTTTCATCATTTTCTTTGAAATCAGTCATTTTTTTAATCCTGAAAATACTAACAGTAACTTTAAAGATAGTTGGCTAGATTAAACTAATAGATTATATTGAGGCTTCATCAATTATTTCAGTTTCAATAAAAATTTTCACATTCAATCATCTATAAATTTTGAAATGAATTTGATACTTCTATCTAGTAATCTATGAAACTTGGATTCAAGTAACTTAAAATAGGAATACCTTAGAGTTTATGAGATACAGAATCATCCAATTTAAGAGTAACTCTAGTTCATTAATTAATCAAGACTTATTGTTTAATTCCAATTTTAACCCAAGATATATCTTCTTTGGTTAGTCTTTCTAACATATATGAAAATATCTATTCTATTAATAAATGATGTATAGATTAATAAGGATTCATAAGTTAAACATAATTGAGATCAAAATGATTTGGAAATAAATACTTTCTCAAATATTATAGACTTTTTAAATATTAGAGATTATGAACAATAAAAGATAAATGAAATTATATGTTTTTAGGTATACTAAATTTATTATACAGAAATACTATGAANTTCATCTCCATTATTTGCCCTTATTCATTTAATCATCGATCAAAAATACTCTCTAATCTTTAAACTTATTTGCTTAATTATTCCCACTATTTCTTAATTTGCTTATACATAACAATTTATGTTCCTTGGATAAATCAGCATATCATAGTTGCAATAATTTTCTTATTATTACTGCCCCTAGAATTATATGCATAGTAACATCAGTTAAGAGAATGGCCTCTTTAGATATGAGAAGCTAAGGGCAATATTTTTAAACAAACAAATCAATGAACAGGAACCAAAGAGTTTGAGGATTAAAACCATTTACATATCCTTCTTCTATAAACAATTCCAAACAAGGTGTTCATTCATTGTAATTAGCAAAAATACGCATAAAGATTACATTATTACTTAACCTATAATTTCAATTAATGTAAGTATGCATTGGTAATTTCAGTTTTGAATATTAAATCAAATTTCATGAATAAGTTTGTTTTAGTAGTTTATTGAAAAAGAAAGGCTAAATTCGATACTTTGTTTGAATGATTCCTAATTGAAAAAATTTTATATATTTATTAATCATTAAATTGATTACAAAAACAAAAACAATTATTATTATAATTTGAGTTACTTGACTCAAATTTATTATTAACATATCTATAAACATGATCGAATTTATCATAAATATCTTCTTAACTTTATATATTTGGTATATTTGCTTTAGATTTTTCATCATTTTCTTTGAAATCAGTCATTTTTTTAATCCTGAAAATACTAACAGTAACTTTAAAGATAGTTGGCTAGATTAAACTAATAGATTATATTGAGGCTTCATCAATTATTTCAGTTTCAATAAAAATTTTCACATTCAATCATCTATAAATTTTGAAATGAATTTGATACTTCTATCTAGTAATCTATGAAACTTGGATTCAAGTAACTTAAAATAGGAATACCTTAGAGTTTATGAGATACAGAATCATCCAATTTAAGAGTAACTCTAGTTCATTAATTAATCAAGACTTATTGTTTAATTCCAATTTTAACCCAAGATATATCTTCTTTGGTTAGTCTTTCTAACATATATGAAAATATCTATTCTATTAATAAATGATGTATAGATTAATAAGGATTCATAAGTTAAACATAATTGAGATCAAAATGATTTGGAAATAAATACTTTCTCAAATATTATAGACTTTTTAAATATTAGAGATTATGAACAATAAAAGATAAATGAAATTATATGTTTTTAGGTATACTAAATTTATTATACAGAAATACTATGAACAATATCTAAGAATAATGACTTCATCTACTTAAAAGATTGCCAAAATCTTTGCTAATTGAGACATCTCAATTAAGATGATTTAACATTAGAAATAATTGAATCCGGAATTGCTATTGTAATATGTTCTATTGAATTGACAACAACTGTTTTATTATTCCTTTTTCCTTTACTTATCTTTTTTGTTTAATGGTTTTATTCTTTTTCTCCATAATTAAGATATATATATATATATATTTATCACATGAATTCATCATCATCATCATCTAAATTATCAAAATCATCTTCTTCATCCTCTACTATATTTTTAGTCTTTCCAAATGAAACTCCTTTAGGTGCACCTTGCAATTGACTCTTTTTTTTAATTGCTTCCTCTGCTTCAAATTGTTTTCTTTTTTTTATATAAATCTCTTCTACAACCTTGAATAATTCTTCAAAATGATTCAATTATAGTTTTCCTTCCAATTTTGTTATTAATGTTTTCAAGAATTCAGTTGAATAATTTGGACCAACATTTTACAAAGCAGCTGCAAAATTCTCACCAATTTTCTTCAAATCTGCTTATCCTATATTCTTTTTAACTGGTTTGTCTCCTCCAAATAAATCAAACACATTATTCATATCTTATTCTTTTGATTATACTTCTGATTCCTTATATTTATTTTAACCTTATTATGGGTTATTATCAACTATCATATTTACTTACTTCACTTCTTACTTCACTTCTTATTCTTCTTCAGCGTATTACTCCCAATCCTCCACGTCTGACATTTTAATAATTAAATTAAATATTAATCACAACTTTAATTGTCATTATATATATAAACAAATACTTAATTTTATTATTATAAGTTCTTTATTTATATTTTATCTAATATTTAAATTCTATTTATATCTTAAATATTATTCTCATTAACAAAATTTAAATTATTTTAATCTATTTATAAACACATCATTTAATCTTTTTTATATAGAAACTACTTTATTTATATAAATATTATCTAATTTTTACATGGCAAGAACAAAACAAGGAAAACCAAGTAATAATAAATTTAGTTTCTCACCTGAGGAATAGAGCATGTGTAATAACTCTTGGGAAAACAAAAAAAATATATAAAAAAATAAATAAAAAAAGAAACACAGATTCAGACCTGGAACTATTTCATTAAAAGAGATTAGATAGTATGTGTTTAATATTAAATTTAGATTATAATTTACTACGAATCTATTGATAAGAAAACTACCCTTCTAAAGATTAGTAAGACAAATTTCATAAAATTCTGAGAAAGAATTCAGATTTAGTTAATCTGCAATGTATGCTTTACAAGAAGCCACAGAAGGTTTCATTGTTCATCTATTTGAAGATGCAAATCTATGTTCACATCATGCTAAGAGAGTTACATTGTTAACAAGAGATTTGTATTTGGCTATAAGAATATAAGGAATAGAATATTGATTAATAATTACATAAATACTTTCAATAACGATCAAATTATTATTATATAAATTTGTGCATGTCTCCACCTATTTTTACATATTCTTCATAAAGATCAGAAACCATAATATTTCTACCTGGATGACTCTAAGGTAATTTATTTTTTTATGTCAAAGCAGCATCAAAAAATAATCTTTTCATCGTTTATTCAGATGGTCTCTACATATCTGATTATCTTAATGAATTTTCAGATAATCTAGATATTTCAGATTTCCTCTCTTAATTAAATTTCTATGTTTCCTAAAAAGAATTTTATTCAGATCTTCTCTGAATATCAGTTCCATAATATATATTTTTAGGTTCATTACTTGAATATCTTTATTCTAAATTTATACTAGGTCTAGATTCAAATTATAATTAATAACTCAAACGAGCATCTTGAGATTGTGTTTTATGATCTTGTTATCTTCTATCATACTCAACTGATCCCCTAGTTTCATATCCAGAATTAGATTATGTTATTTAATTTAGATATGATTATTATTTTCCTTTAGGAATATCTGGTTTATTTAGATTACTTAATCTCTATTCAAAATATAAGTTATGATCAATATCTATTTTCTATGTTTATTTTGTGTTACCATTTTCAATCTTAGATGGAGTTAAGTAAGAATTTGTTGAACTATTGCGCTATTCTCCTTGAATATTAACAGGCATTGAAGCTCTTTGAGTAAATAAATCTGTTTTCATTTTAGAATTAACCAAAGCTTTATTAATATATTTATACAGATTAATTGACCCTTCCTTATTATTTGATAATTATTGAATTCCTTATTCAATTCTAAATATAATTGTTTTTACCAATTAATAATCTTGAGTATTTATTATTTCTTAAAGACTTGAAATCATTTCATTTAAGATCCTTTAAGTATATGGCATATTTTCCTTTTAGAGTTCCTATTGTAATTTCTATTTCAAAGTAGCCAATTTTGCATTAATTCTTTATATAGATATTTATTTCTGATCATAAAAAGAATCATCCATCTTTGGAAATTGAGAATAAACTGTCATATCTAATTAGGTTTATGGTTGCTGAGCAGGAATTGATTTCTATTCATATGCTGCAATTGCAGATGGCACAGATTAAAAAGTGTTAGGTTTAATTGGACTTTATTGTTGAAATCCATTACTTTTATTGAAAGTATATTGATACGAATTTTAACTTAAATTAGATTAACCAATAGCTAAAGTTTATGCAAATTATGCTTGAGCCTTATATTTAACTGCTTAACTTGAATGCTTACTTTATTATATAGATTAAGAAGTAAATTATTTATTCGTTTCACTAGATTTATTTGTTTAAAGTTGAGATTCACCTGCATTAATGCGAGATCGTAATAATTAAGATTTCTCTTACTACTATTAAGATATATTCTTAAATTTAGTTAGAAATTCTTCTACTAGATTAAACATCTAAGTTAATTGTTACTCCTTATTCAATTTATATAAATACTTTTTAAGCTGGTATAGTACTGTCAGCAATTGAAATAGCAGATAAATCTGGATTGTTAAATTTATCCACAATTTAAGAATATTCCTATGCTACTTGATTGGCATCTAATTCTAATTGTTATTTGATAATGTTCCTTTATTTATGTTATTCTGGAACCTTCAAAGCTACTGAATACCTCTCTAACATGTCTTTGATATTTGAAGATTAATATACTTAATACTTTATCTTTTAAATGAGACATATCATCAAAGAGATCATTTTCATTTAGTAAACGCTAATGTTGTAATTTTTATGATTCAAATTTCTTGTTCTCTTCTCCAAAGGTTAATCGAGCAAGTGCATCTTTTTTTGGTGGTGGATCCAAATCAAACTTTGGTTAGATTGGATTAAGAAACATCTTATCATGTCTTGATTATTCATTTAAAAACTATAATTTGTTATTAATTCACTACATTTGAGGATTCGTTAAGACTGCCTAATATTTATTCATCAACATGTGATACTCTTTCTAAAGGATTTTTATATTTATTCATAATATCCTACACAGATGGTCTTGATGGATTAGATTATGAATTATTTTTTGGGCTAGATGCTCCACTAGATCTGAAAAATGGATTCTAAAACATATTTTAATTTATTATATATATATATATTATGTTCTGTTTTTTCAATCGAATAAACATATATTTTATTGAATAATTGTTAATTTGTATTTTAAATATCAACAATCCACAGTTGAACTAAATCCCATATAACTCAAATGATCTTGAATTGATGGAACAAGGACTGAATCTGAACAATTAGGATCTTCATCTAATTAGCAAATGGTATATGAAGTCTTGTGATACCAGATTTCTCTATCAACGTGATTGAATCCAAAGTTTTCGGGTGGAACCTATGATTATCTAATATAATATTTACATGTGGAACAACATCCTTATCATGAACAACTCTGAAATGGGTAACTTTTGTGAATGATGAGAAATAGTTATAATAAGCTGTATCACCAACTCTTGGTAAACCAAAGGTAGTCAATTAAACTGTATATCCAGCAATAGCTAATTCAGTTGTATATAAAGTAGCCATAGCAGCTCCCAAAGAATGACCAGTTACATGGATGTTAGCTTTTGGATACATTCCTCTGTATTTAGTGAACAAAGTATCAACTTAAGATTTAATTGAATTAAAAGCATCCAAAAATCCACTGTGAACTTAACAATTACATGCTGTGTTGTNTACTTTTTAAGCTGGTATAGTACTGTCAGCAATTGAAATAGCAGATAAATCTGGATTGTTAAATTTATCCACAATTTAAGAATATTCCTATGCTACTTGATTGGCATCTAATTCTAATTGTTATTTGATAATGTTCCTTTATTTATGTTATTCTGGAACCTTCAAAGCTACTGAATACCTCTCTAACATGTCTTTGATATTTGAAGATTAATATACTTAATACTTTATCTTTTAAATGAGACATATCATCAAAGAGATCATTTTCATTTAGTAAACGCTAATGTTGTAATTTTTATGATTCAAATTTCTTGTTCTCTTCTCCAAAGGTTAATCGAGCAAGTGCATCTTTTTTTGGTGGTGGATCCAAATCAAACTTTGGTTAGATTGGATTAAGAAACATCTTATCATGTCTTGATTATTCATTTAAAAACTATAATTTGTTATTAATTCACTACATTTGAGGATTCGTTAAGACTGCCTAATATTTATTCATCAACATGTGATACTCTTTCTAAAGGATTTTTATATTTATTCATAATATCCTACACAGATGGTCTTGATGGATTAGATTATGAATTATTTTTTGGGCTAGATGCTCCACTAGATCTGAAAAATGGATTCTAAAACATATTTTAATTTATTATATATATATATATTATGTTCTGTTTTTTCAATCGAATAAACATATATTTTATTGAATAATTGTTAATTTGTATTTTAAATATCAACAATCCACAGTTGAACTAAATCCCATATAACTCAAATGATCTTGAATTGATGGAACAAGGACTGAATCTGAACAATTAGGATCTTCATCTAATTAGCAAATGGTATATGAAGTCTTGTGATACCAGATTTCTCTATCAACGTGATTGAATCCAAAGTTTTCGGGTGGAACCTATGATTATCTAATATAATATTTACATGTGGAACAACATCCTTATCATGAACAACTCTGAAATGGGTAACTTTTGTGAATGATGAGAAATAGTTATAATAAGCTGTATCACCAACTCTTGGTAAACCAAAGGTAGTCAATTAAACTGTATATCCAGCAATAGCTAATTCAGTTGTATATAAAGTAGCCATAGCAGCTCCCAAAGAATGACCAGTTACATGGATGTTAGCTTTTGGATACATTCCTCTGTATTTAGTGAACAAAGTATCAACTTAAGATTTAATTGAATTAAAAGCATCCAAAAATCCACTGTGAACTTAACAATTACATGCTGTGTTGTAATGAACTTTATCAAATTGGATGTTGTCCAACCAATTTTAAATATTACTAGAACCTCTGAAAACAACTGTAATAGCATTATATGTGGGATTGTAGGCAATATATCCTTTAGTACCCTAATATTATATATTATTAATTATCTTACAGCTATATTGTTCTCAAATACTAAAGGCTTTTCAATATTTGGATAATTTGTGCTTACATATCCTACAGTCCATGTGTTAATGGCTGTGTCTGGACAATAAGCAGCAAATGAGAGAGCAGCTTCTTCTGTTGCTAATACCTCATTATACACAAAAGCACTATTCACTGCTGTTGCTAAGATGACCAAAATCAAAACTTATGATCTCATTTGGATTTTATTTATTTAAATATTCTCTATTTCAAATCTCCTCTTATAATCCCCTATTATTCTAACATATTTATTATAATTTGCATCATAAGATATGTACTTTATTATGAATAACACGACATTTATTTCAAAAATTATACATTTCTCAAATATATATTTATATATAAATTCTTAATTCATTACATCTCAATCTCCATTCTCAATTCTCTTTACTCACTATCATACTTATTTTTAGAATTTAAATTCTATCAAATTCACTTCATTTTCTTCTAATTAATCAATTTAACGAACACATTGTCTTTTATCAAATTTTCTTATATATTTCTCAATTTTAGTATTTCTGAATCTTTTTGAGATTGTCTAATAACATTTATAATGAAAATCATTTATAAGAGTAAAGAAAATAAATTTAAGTATTTTATTTTTTTATTTCTTTAAACTTAAATATATATAATTAAACTATTTTAGTAAGGGTTATTGTTGATTTATAATACTCAATTTAAATTATCAAATATCAATTAAAAGATAAACTTTTATAGTTAGAAAAGACATTCTTTAGACATTCTACTAAAATAAATATAATGAAAATTATATTAATAAAAATATATAAAATAATTTGAATGATGTCATATAAAATTTACTATTATCATACTATCATTTAAGAATGACAAGAATTACTAGACCAACCTAAATATGTCAAATGATCATTCAAATTTGGATATTAAACAGATGCTGAACATGAATGATCTTCTCCTTTTACTTCTTGACAAACAATATAATTTATTCCATCTTTATACCAAATTTCAGTATTAACATGTTCAAAATCATATTTACCAGGTGGTAAATGAGGTGCAACATCTTTTTTATTAGTCAACCTTGAATGTGTTACTTTTAATGTTGAAAACCAATCATAAAAATCTGAATCTCCTACTCTTGGAGAACCAACAGTTACAAGTGTCACTTTAATACCTATCATAGATAATTCACTTGCAAATAATGTAGCCATGGCACCTCCTAATGAATGTCCTGTAATATGATATTTAGCATATGGATATTTAATTCTATACTCTCCTAGTAATACATCTAAATGAATTTTCAAAGATGTGTAGGCTGCAAAGAAACCTTCATGAACTTAACATTTGCATATAGGATTGAATTCAATTTTCTTTGCATCTATGTCAGCAATGAAATTCTTTAAGTTTTATGACCCTCTAAATACAACTGTTATAGCTTAAGAATGTTGATTATAAGCAATATAACCCCTTGTTTCCTATTTTTTATTAAAATATATATAATACCAGCTCTGTATTCTCGAATATTTATATTCTACTCAAGTTAGGATATTATTCACTTATAGTGCCAACATTCCAATTTAAAATGTCTTCTAAATTACAGTAAGCTGCAAAAGAAAATGCTGTTAATTAATTAGCTAAAGCTGGATCATAATTAAATGCACTAGCAATTCCTAAAAGTACAAACAAAATTTTCATTTTTTTATATATTACCTTCATGACGTATCCCGTCCACAATTTATACTTAACAATTTATATTATATAATATTATTAAATTTTATATTTTTGATTCGTCATAACTTTATTGCGTTAGCATTAATCCATTTTAATTATTTTAATCCCAAAAAACAATTATCAAATCATTTTTTAAATTAATGAATAAGTTTTTTTCAAATTAATATGATTGATGTCAATAAGGTCTCCTTACAAATTAAATATAATTTTTCTACTTCAATAAAATCCATAATAACATATAATTCCACAAATTTACACTCATTGATAATTATTTACAAATGTTACATTCTCTTAGCTACTCTTTATAAATGAATGTAATTTTTAATCGAATAAATAATTAATAAATAATTTTCTGTTATTAACATAAATGAACCGCAGTTATTACAATAAATCCAACAGTAATTTAACTCCTGGTAAAACAAAGTCATAAAATGTAACTTAGATTTAGTTGTAAGATAATTAATTAAATTCAAGAAACATTAGCAAATATATTAGAGATTCTTCTACTGAAAACAATAAAAGAGGAGATAATTTATTGAATGCATTAATTCAACAGTCTTAATAAGCAATTCAATCAGCTAGACAATTTAGTATTGATAGACCAATTAAGACATCTCCTATTGAAACGTAATTTAATAATTAATTATGTAGCTCCCCTCATATTCAAAAAAAAGTAATCAGCACTTCATAATCTTTATCATCATAAATTAAAAAAAGCACAGATTTACAATAAAGAAATAGTGCTTAATTTGATAGACTTCTCAATGAAAATACTTCATTGTTGATGCGAATCTAAGAATTAGAATAAAAAGTAAGAAATTGATTTAACAAGTGAGAATCAATTACTATAAATGAAATGCTAGTGCAGCAATCAAAACAATAAAAGATAATAAGAAAACCTACTCAAATAGCATAATTAAAATAAAGGTGATTTAGATGAATTCTTATAATCACATCATTGTAATGAAAACGAAAATAGAATATTAAAAGAATTAATTAATAGGTAATCTTCTATTATGCATATTCCATCAGTTATATAAACACTTTCACTTATTAAATGAACTTATAGTATATAAATAATTATATATAACAATTTTTAATGTTTCATTAAAAGCTCAATAATATTTAAAATTGTCTTGTTCTATTACGAATTTATCCTATCTACTTCTATTTCAACTCTAATATTCCTACTAATCCAGTTAATAATCTTAGTTATAATGCTCGTAATCCTAAAATATACACAGAAGTAAATTGATTGAATTATTATTAAGATACAGATTTTCATATTCTATATAACAATTATTAGAAATACATTGAATCTGCAATAGATGATCTATTTAAATTTGTTTTCTATCTTGAATTAATTAGATCAATATTTTTATAATGTCATATAAAATTTTTATATCTTTCTGTCTTTATGATATCTTAATCATTTCTTCTTAGATTCTAAATAATCTCTTAACATATCTATTATTTCACTTCGTTTTTAATACCTTTTACTTCAATTATTATATTGTTAAATAATAAGTTTTATTTGCTCCCCATTTTTTTACGGTCTTCTTATAAGGCTTTTTCATATTTTTATAATTTATGTAGTTTAAAAACCATTTCTTTAACTGCTGCCTGATTATCAAGAATAATAATTAAAATACTCCTTCTATTCTTATTTTTCTCTTCGAGCTTTTAAATCTAAAACATTAACCTTTCCAAATGATTTATTAAATGAAACTATAGTTGATTCACTCTTTTCTTCCTAAATTAATATTATAAAATTACTTCTTTTTCTATTGTTCTGACAGTTTTCTAATCTACCTAATCCACATACTTTTATACCATCTGATGTCTTTCTTATATTTTTCCATTTCATCATTTATACTAGCTATTGAATTATCAGGACTTACGGTTCTATTAAAATTATTGATCCTCCTTTTTTTTTTCGATTCTTTATATCAATTAATTATAATTTTATAATATATTTAAAATAAATTATTCTTTTTTTATTATCTAGATGTTTAAATTTATACAATTAAGCTTATATATTTTGAATTTAGTTTGATGAATGATTTTACCAAAATTATTTATAGATAACCTTTCTATCAATTCTATTAACAATCCTTAAACCCAGATATAATTAAAAATTTTTAGTTTATTTTCTGAATATATATTCATATGAAAATAATTTTATTTATTTTTCATCAAGAATAAATTACTTTCTATTAAGAATTAGATCGACAATTAGGAATCTAATTTTTGTAAATTTTTAGATTTAAAAATGAATATAGTTCTTAAAAAATATTTATTAAAATAAAAATATGGTAATAAAATTACTTAATTATGTCATATTAAGTAGAAGATATTTTAAATTTCCAATTAATAGTTTTTATCTTAAATCAAAATTGGTTACATATATCATTTATTTTCAATATATATACAATCAATTTCAAGAGGAGAACATAATATTTTGTATTGTATTTAGATATATAAACCTTATTAAAATAATAAAAAATTTATATTCAGTGATTATTACCAAAAATCAAATACTTTATTCTTATTTCTTTTTTTTTATTAGAACAAGCTCTTTAAATTTATTTTCAATCACATGTTTAAATTTCTTTTCCTTAGATGATTTATTTTTTAGGTTATTTCTGGCATTTATGAACCAATTTANATATCTTAATCATTTCTTCTTAGATTCTAAATAATCTCTTAACATATCTATTATTTCACTTCGTTTTTAATACCTTTTACTTCAATTATTATATTGTTAAATAATAAGTTTTATTTGCTCCCCATTTTTTTACGGTCTTCTTATAAGGCTTTTTCATATTTTTATAATTTATGTAGTTTAAAAACCATTTCTTTAACTGCTGCCTGATTATCAAGAATAATAATTAAAATACTCCTTCTATTCTTATTTTTCTCTTCGAGCTTTTAAATCTAAAACATTAACCTTTCCAAATGATTTATTAAATGAAACTATAGTTGATTCACTCTTTTCTTCCTAAATTAATATTATAAAATTACTTCTTTTTCTATTGTTCTGACAGTTTTCTAATCTACCTAATCCACATACTTTTATACCATCTGATGTCTTTCTTATATTTTTCCATTTCATCATTTATACTAGCTATTGAATTATCAGGACTTACGGTTCTATTAAAATTATTGATCCTCCTTTTTTTTTTCGATTCTTTATATCAATTAATTATAATTTTATAATATATTTAAAATAAATTATTCTTTTTTTATTATCTAGATGTTTAAATTTATACAATTAAGCTTATATATTTTGAATTTAGTTTGATGAATGATTTTACCAAAATTATTTATAGATAACCTTTCTATCAATTCTATTAACAATCCTTAAACCCAGATATAATTAAAAATTTTTAGTTTATTTTCTGAATATATATTCATATGAAAATAATTTTATTTATTTTTCATCAAGAATAAATTACTTTCTATTAAGAATTAGATCGACAATTAGGAATCTAATTTTTGTAAATTTTTAGATTTAAAAATGAATATAGTTCTTAAAAAATATTTATTAAAATAAAAATATGGTAATAAAATTACTTAATTATGTCATATTAAGTAGAAGATATTTTAAATTTCCAATTAATAGTTTTTATCTTAAATCAAAATTGGTTACATATATCATTTATTTTCAATATATATACAATCAATTTCAAGAGGAGAACATAATATTTTGTATTGTATTTAGATATATAAACCTTATTAAAATAATAAAAAATTTATATTCAGTGATTATTACCAAAAATCAAATACTTTATTCTTATTTCTTTTTTTTTATTAGAACAAGCTCTTTAAATTTATTTTCAATCACATGTTTAAATTTCTTTTCCTTAGATGATTTATTTTTTAGGTTATTTCTGGCATTTATGAACCAATTTAAAACCTGAATATAATAGAGAAATCATATTTACTTATTTATTGGTAAGTTTAGTTTATAGAACTAATTATTCAACTTATTATGGCTTTGGATACGGGTTATTGTAATTTTCAATTAACCATTTCTTAAGTATCATATTTGCAGATTTAGAATAAGTCCTTTTTGTATTACCTAAATTAGGATATTAATGGTTTATACTTGGATAATTGGATAATAATTACAATCTCTAAATGTCTTCATATAGTTTTATTTTGTTTTAAATTTAGGTTGTGATTTCCTAAAAAAATTAAGTTGTTTGATTTTGAGTGAATGTACTATATATTTTTTCATCAATCATTCTCTATTTTAATCTTGTAAAAAACTTTTTATGTAAATTTAGCTTGTCAACCGTCTATGATAATGTTTAACAAACGATACATTTGTTTCTAAAGTAAATTCTAAATCAATAGAATCGTTTTTTTTAATTTTTTCTTCTTTTTAAATTTATCCTGTTTATTGTTGGGTAATCCAACTAAAGCAAATACTTTCTAGGCTGTTTATCTCTTATATTGTTTATTGGGCTTTTGCTTCATTAACTATAAGGTTTAGACTTTATATAATACCTTATTATAAGATTTATTGGTATGAAGATTCTTTTATACTATCTTCCATATTAGTTTAGAAATACATATTTGATGAAGGGANAAATTACTTTCTATTAAGAATTAGATCGACAATTAGGAATCTAATTTTTGTAAATTTTTAGATTTAAAAATGAATATAGTTCTTAAAAAATATTTATTAAAATAAAAATATGGTAATAAAATTACTTAATTATGTCATATTAAGTAGAAGATATTTTAAATTTCCAATTAATAGTTTTTATCTTAAATCAAAATTGGTTACATATATCATTTATTTTCAATATATATACAATCAATTTCAAGAGGAGAACATAATATTTTGTATTGTATTTAGATATATAAACCTTATTAAAATAATAAAAAATTTATATTCAGTGATTATTACCAAAAATCAAATACTTTATTCTTATTTCTTTTTTTTTATTAGAACAAGCTCTTTAAATTTATTTTCAATCACATGTTTAAATTTCTTTTCCTTAGATGATTTATTTTTTAGGTTATTTCTGGCATTTATGAACCAATTTAAAACCTGAATATAATAGAGAAATCATATTTACTTATTTATTGGTAAGTTTAGTTTATAGAACTAATTATTCAACTTATTATGGCTTTGGATACGGGTTATTGTAATTTTCAATTAACCATTTCTTAAGTATCATATTTGCAGATTTAGAATAAGTCCTTTTTGTATTACCTAAATTAGGATATTAATGGTTTATACTTGGATAATTGGATAATAATTACAATCTCTAAATGTCTTCATATAGTTTTATTTTGTTTTAAATTTAGGTTGTGATTTCCTAAAAAAATTAAGTTGTTTGATTTTGAGTGAATGTACTATATATTTTTTCATCAATCATTCTCTATTTTAATCTTGTAAAAAACTTTTTATGTAAATTTAGCTTGTCAACCGTCTATGATAATGTTTAACAAACGATACATTTGTTTCTAAAGTAAATTCTAAATCAATAGAATCGTTTTTTTTAATTTTTTCTTCTTTTTAAATTTATCCTGTTTATTGTTGGGTAATCCAACTAAAGCAAATACTTTCTAGGCTGTTTATCTCTTATATTGTTTATTGGGCTTTTGCTTCATTAACTATAAGGTTTAGACTTTATATAATACCTTATTATAAGATTTATTGGTATGAAGATTCTTTTATACTATCTTCCATATTAGTTTAGAAATACATATTTGATGAAGGGATCTTTTTATTTTTAAAAATGATTAAATTCAAGTCAAAATTTTACTGATTGATAGCATATCAGCAGAAGGATGACGCATGCATTAAATCAATATTATAAATAAATTTGATACAAAAATTATTTGTTTTCCTCTATAATGATTTGTTTTCTGTATTATATCTGGAATAAATTATTAGTTTAGAATTAATTTTAAACTATTAAACTTAGAAATAAGTTGACGCATTATAAAAAATTATTATTACAAGTGAATTAAATAAGTAATTCTTATGTTATGCTTATTAATAATAAAAGGAATTGATATAATTAAACCTAAGAAATCAGATTATAAAATAAAATTCAAAAATATTATTGAAAAATATATTTATTCTAATAGATTGAAGGGAATTAAAAATTGGTATAAAGAAGTAAATAAATATCATTTTTGAAAGATATAGAAGGCCATAATAGATGGCTTCAACCAAGAGGATTAAAATGCTTAAAATTTGTTTCTTTAATTTTTTTATTATTATATTGACAAATCTCTTTAAAAAATGATTTATTTTATTCTATTATCTTATTTTTATTCTTAGTATTCACATTAATAAATATAATTTATGAATTAAAAACCTAAATGTCAAAAGTAATAAGATAAATCTATTAGTTTTGTTGACGTTAGATAAGGTGTTGCATTAAATTAGAAAGATTATTATAATTTCTGTAGATTAAATAAATCCTTTGTGTTTGTATTAGCTTTGGAAGAAAAAAGTTAGAATACATTAAGAAATACATATCAATCAATACTAAGAAAATAAAATAATTGTAACAGATTCGAAGAGATTAAATAACAATATGAATAAAAAGTTGAATACATTTTGAAACTTAAGTTAATAAAGATTTTAGATTAAATAAATATTTTATAAGAAATAAAGTTATTAAAATTCAAATCTTTTGATAAAAAAGAATTTTAATAATGTTGTTAAGCTATTTTTAGTAAAAAAATGGAACATTTATTTTATAGAATTATTGTTTTTCGTATTCATCACTTAATTTTATATATTGTATTAAATTAAATAGATAATATTACTACTTTAGATAGAACTTCTGATTTTAAAAACTTGGGATTTGTTTTATGAAATTGAATTTGATAAAAAAGGATAAAAATCTACTTTATTCAGCTGATTATTACTTTTCATTAAAAATTGTGGAAATTGAAAAAATTTAACGCTGTTGTGATTTTTGAAAAGACCTGTAAAATGTTTATTATGCACATAGTATTCTTTCTAGTAAGGATTTAAGTTTTCATTCATATAAATTCACTAATGGAGTTTTTATACTTCTTCAATATATGGAAGGGTTGACTGAAGAGAAATGATTAATTACTTTAAATAAAAGATGAAACTTTGATGACAACAAACCATATTAATTATACTATAACAATTTGGTAAAAAGAGAATAATTAGTGGATTATTTAATAAGTTATTTAAACTAATCGAGATAAGGAAATTGCAAGTATTTTTCAAAAAGGGAATGATGATTTGGGAAGATGTAGGAGTTTTATAATATAAAAAATTAGATTATCAGATGTAGATTAATTGATCGTTTTATTTTAGTTTAAGAAAGTGAGAATAAGTAATTGCATATACAAATTTATAAAAATAAATAAATAAATAAAGTTTACAGTTTTTAAGCGAATTATAAATATAACAATATTATTTAATATGAATAGATATCAATAAGGTCTTGGTCTAATCAATTATTCATACTATTTCTAAATGTAAGGATTCTAATTATTGAAGGGAATAGGATTTGTAAGAGGATTATGATTCTAATGTATAGCATTTTATCCTGCTCCTCTTAAAGCTTATCCTCGACTAACTTGAGAAACATTACTCAAATTTTAATTAATTGTATTCATTTCATCTTATTTTAATTAAGCTAAAGATTATTATTTTAATAAATAATCTTATTTTGGAGGTAATTAACTAAATAAATAAATACAATACCCCACTTATGGAGACCATCCAATTATTTTTGCATTTAATTATGCTTCTTATTTTTTATATGCTTATAAATCTAACATATTCATAGATTTTTCTTATCTTCCCATTCTGAGTTGTTTTAATCTCTATTCCTCTCTTAAATAAAGATTATTGATACTTTTCAATTCTTTATTGATCTAAATATTCTTTATATTATCGTTACTATTCTACTTAATCTACTTTCCTTTAAACTAAGAATTAATTATAATTTGAGAGCTGAATATAAACATATTATTATTACATCTTCTAATCTTTATTTATTTAATTCTTATTTAACATTCTTCTCTTATACTTTTCCTTATTCTCTATCATCTAACATCTTTTTGTTCACATTTAGTGTTTGTCTATATTCTTCTTATCTTTTTAATACTCTATCTAATTCATCTTAAAGTAATTTTCTTTAATAAGCATCCATATTTTTAGCAATTAAAGATTCTAATTGAGCTTATCTCTCTAATAATGGTTATAAGACATTATCAATATGCATTTTTTATAATTAAGCTTAATTTTATGAACATAACTTATAAAACTAATTATTATATATAAATCTTATACATTTTTATAATTCTCTTCTTTTATTAATTCTTTTTCAGCATTTCTTTTATTCAATTCCTAAATTTCTATTTAATCATTTCTAAATCTTTCTCTTTCTTCCATATGTCTTAATTATGATAATTTAAGATCTGCATCTTATTCTTTAGCCCATTACTCTTTTTATAATCTTCGTTATAAGAAATCTTATTCCATTCTTCTTCTATTTTCATCTAAAGCTTATTATTCCCATTCCAATTTTTATTATCTCAAATCCATTTCTCTTATTAAGGAATCTTATTTTTATTTATCATAAATAGAAGAAATGCCCTTTTACAATACAGCTTTATCTTCTAAGAATTTTCTTTATTCTTCTTAGAATTTCATTTATCTTCTTTTCATTTCTTCTGCATCTTCATATTTTTATTCTAATTCTTTCTATTTTAATTATAATTACTCAAGCATTTTTCTATCTAATTCAGTCCTAAATCAATTAAATATAAATAAAGTACAATAATTCTTTTTTTCTAAGATTCAATATATCTTTTTCATTTCGTTAAATTTCTTATCCAATTTCATACATATGATGTTCTATTCCATACCATTCAGACTTTAAACCCTTTTTTATTATAAATGTTTATTTACTTGAACATCTTTTGGATAATGACGTCTTGTTTATGTTTAATTTTATGTAACATTCATTGGATCAGTTTCCATTTTTATTAATAATAATTAATAATAAATAAAGAGTATTAATTCTTCATTAAAATTATTTATAAAGAAAACAAAATAATTGAAAATTGTCAATTCTTAGTTTGCAAATTATTAAGATCAAACATCTAATTAAGCCATAAGTTTATTCCCTTTATGGATGTCTTTATATGTTTCACTTATCCAGCCTTATCAGCAACTGCTTTTAAGTGGGAAGCAACTTAAGCAAATACTTATGCATTTGCATTTATTATCTACTTAATTAATTTTACTATATT